CTTATTATCAGTGTGTATCTCTGTAGGTGCTGAATGAGAGAGGAATTACTGTTGCATACATGAACCTGTCACTGCCTCTGCTCTGTCTGTTTTTCACTTCTTTGCCTTGTTCCGACATGCTTTTGTGGGCCTCTCTCATGAGAATACCCCCATTACCTTTTACTTTACCTTTAAGTAATGTCTCCAGGCTCCTAGCATTAAACTACCTCACATGAATAATGCATTGTGTGGGTTAGCGTTAGCCTTCCCACACAAAAATTTACACAGTAGACCAAGACCATGCTCATAACACCTTACACGGTGTCAAGAACATTTTAATAAACCTGTAAATATAAATGCATAGACAAGACACAAACAACTGTAATGTGCACTGTACACTTAGCCCTAAAGCATTTGTTAGAGTCAATTAGTTAACCATTGTATCCCTGCTTGTTTCGAAGAACATATATTTAGATGTGTTACTGCGTGAATGACTGAGTAGAAATTAAATAAAATGCAGGGGTTTGGTTATCCCAGTTAAAGACTTGGCTCTCGGCACCTTACTTACAACACATCATAACAACTATGAAGCCTTGTTTAATTTAACTGAGTTAAAGTGCAACAACAAAAGAACTATGGGCACCTATAGGAAACTGGCAGAGTGTTCCCAGAGCCACAAAAACATGTCACTCTTCTCACATCCTACAGTCAAATCATCCCTTAAAACAACAACACACAGATTTTGATATGTAGAATGAAGTTGACACTGACACTTTTTTACAGAACATGTTTTTCTTGTCTCAGTGTAGCTCTTCAAAATTTATTTATATTGTTTTGGTGTTTGGTCTCCAGTGCTGATGAGCGCTTTGATGCCACGTTCCACACCAACGTCCTGGTCAACGCTTCTGGATACTGCCAATACATTCCTCCAGGGATCCTGAAAAGCACCTGCTACATCGATGTGCGCTGGTTCCCGTTTGATGTGCAGAAATGTAACCTGAAGTTTGGATCGTGGACACACAATGGGTGGTTACTGGACCTCCAGATGCTTAATGTGGACACATCAACTTATATTCCCAATGGAGAATGGGATCTTGTGGGTGAGATTGCTCCTCATTGTTGTATACAGTCAGGCATTAGATTAAAACAGGCGCGTGTTAATAAAAGTTCTAATACACAGAGGTTTTCTGCGTGTTCAGCTACATGATAGGAAAGTATTTTAACAGGTATTATTACATTTGATAATTTTCCACTTGTGTTTCTCTTATGCAGATGTGCCAGCCAAGCGTAATGAGCTGTACTATGAATGCTGTAAGGAGCCCTACCCTGATGTGACATTCACTGTCACCATGCGCAGAAGGACACTGTACTACGGACTCAATCTACTCATTCCCTGTGTGCTGATTTCTGGTCTGGCTTTACTTGTCTTCTTGCTCCCCGCAGACTCTGGTGAAAAGATATCTTTAGGTAATACATGAGAAGATGTGTTTTACACATAGACTGTAGATATGAACGGGCATAGCTAATGCGCTAGCCGCTGCGTTCCATATAGGAAGTTTACATGCAGCTGCTTCCAGCTCCTTTTGACCCTAGGTCCCATTGACATACTGGAATATTGTGGCCCCTCTCTCGGTAACTGCTGCTGTGAGCCTCGTCATTTTGGTCTTAAAATGTTCGCATTAACCCGCTCTACATGATCCTGTGTGTTTTTTTTCCACTATTCTGCCCGTTAAAAAAATTCTACTCATAACAGAGAGCCTTGCTCCAAATTCTTCATTTGAGTGAAGCCAAACGCTATGGGTGATGGCACACTCGCTTAGTCCACATCTTTATACATGGTATCTAGGGTTTTACAATATTACTCCCAAAATAATAATAAAAAACATACTCATCAAATTATTTGTTAAACATATTTTAAAAGATAATATACTTAAATTATAAAAAAAAAGATGTTTCATAATTTTTTCATTTTTTCTTTAACTTTTACTTTGTGGGGTACTGAAATAGTCCACAGTGCACAAATCTGGCACTCACAATGTAATAAGTTATGGAAGTTGATGATACTAGCAGACAGTATAATAAAATACATCAAATTAAGTTACATGCCTTATTCTTTATCCTGTGCCAAGATATATCACTGTTAATTTTATGTATTGTGTCTCCATTTCAAGGTATCACTGTGCTGCTCTCACTCACTGTCTTCATGCTTTTGGTGGCAGAGATCATGCCAGCAACATCTGATTCTGTTCCTCTCATAGGTGGGTTTTTAAATCCTGTATATTTTTAGTTTTTCCAAACACTATTATTAAATAATGAGTAATTTTTTATATACCTTTACAACTTACTTATTTTATCTTTATCTTTTCTGTTACGCCTGTACTTGATTACTGATTAGTTTTACTTTTGATTTGACATGGGCTGATTGAGCTTTTTTAATTCCATTACCGATATTGATATAGATATCTGTTGATACCCATTATTAACGTTGATCTTAACCAATTCCAGTGCAGGGGATGAAAATGGCACTTATTTCCTTAAATATGTTATGCAACTGTTATTTACCCTTCACATCACTACTGACTAGTTTCATATGATAAAACTTAAAACATTATGAGACATTCTAGGCTAAAATCAGCCTGTGTTATTAAATCCAATTAAAGACTTTTGATACTCTTTCTAGTCAGATTCAAGTGTGTATTTTACAATACTATTATATATCATGCCTTTCAGTAATCAGTAATAGAAATGTTTGTCAAATCATTTAAGTGAAATCTGGTTCTGTTTGTAGCTCAGTACTTTGCCAGCACAATGATGATTGTGGGGATGTCTGTGGTAGTCACTGTTATAGTGCTGCAGTTTCACCATCATGACCCCCATGGAGGCAAGATGCCCAAATGGGTGAGTTTCATTATTTGACAGTGAATATAGTAAGAAAATAAAACATATAGCAAGTAAAATAACTTCTCCAAGTGTTAAGATGTTTAGATATGTGTATTTAGTGCTGCATGTATTACTAAAGAGTAATTGACTTCAGTGTCTGGGCACTATATGATTTCCAATGCAATTAAATTTAAAAAGATAAATTAAACCACCTTTCTTGTCTTCCAGGTTCGAGTGATCCTGTTGAACTGGTGTGCTTGGTTCCTACGGATGAAACAACCCAAAGATAAGCGCCGGCGTCCAGTCTATAAGTACCGACATGCGTCACAGCAGCTCTCCAGCACCAGCTCTATTGAAATGGGGACTGTCCCGAGTGTATCTGTCCCTCTCTCCCAGACATCCTGCCCTCCCTGCCCCTCTGGGACCTCAAATGGGTCTACAGGCCTCTATTTTGGAAACTACCATTCTGTGGATAGTCCACACTGCCCCACCTCCAGTGACTCTGGGGTTGCTCTGGGGGGCCGGGCCTGTGAGGAAGGAGAGCCACCAGGGGGAGTCAGTCGTGGCTTGGGTTTAGGTGTGGGCTATCCCCCTCCAGAGATCCAGCGCATTTTGGAGGAAGTGTCATACATAGCTCAGAGATTTCGGGATCAAGATGAGGCTGAAGCCATCTGCAGTGAGTGGAAGTTTGCTGCTGCGGTGGTAGATAGGTTATGTCTGGTGGCCTTCTCTCTCTTCTCCATCATCTGCACCTTTACCATCCTCATGTCAGCACCCAATTTCATAGAGGCAGTTTCAAAGGACTTCACATAACTCACTTCAAATGAACTGGTGGACTCACCATCCGGAAAGTTACGAAGTGCACCTTTAAAGTACTCTAAATTACACTTTCCTCAAAATTTTGTACTGTGATCAAATGACACGTTATACCTAATTTTGTTTGCTGCATAGTTTGAAGTACTTTTTTTTATAACTATGAAATGTTTAGATGTCTTTTGCTTTAGAAATTAACCTCCAACTCAGTACAACACATCATAGTGACATTTGCCACTGTCTATGCAGAAAAAAACAGTAGAGTAAGATATTTATTAAAGCCTGCTGTAACAAGTGCACCCAGTCACTGCATATGGTGATAGTAACACACTATGTTTAACTGTTCAATATGTTGGCCATGTAATTTATTCACTGGTAATTAATTCAATAAAAACATACTTTAATTTGGTAGTATATTTAAGTATATATTAAATTACTGTAGTAGATTATTATTCAAAAAGCATAAAGAAATTGTAAATAACTCAAATCTATATATTGTACTGGTAGCCACTGAAGAGTCTGCTTTAAAAAAAGACAGAAAAAACAACCAGAATCACAGAAAGAATGAAGAAATGGGCCATGTTTATCTTCAAAATCTGTGCTCATTCTGTTTGTGTGACCAACAAAGACTTCCTCAATGTTCCTTGTGTGATGTTTTGTGGATGAAGTCCAGTCAATAAAATGAGATCTACATTTGAGGTTTGTTCAGAGTTCATTTGCCATGCACGACACATATTATGTGGGTGGTTATGAAACATTAAGGCAGGCAGGTGGTCATAATGTTATTGAAGAACAATAATTGCAGTAATGAGTAACAGCCTGCCTCATGACACAGCATCAGAATTGTTTGTCTAATACTATTATGATAATTTTATCAGCGGGTGTGGCTGCTGGCCTAGATTTAAGGTTTTAAAAAGGAAACTGAGATGTGTTTGGGAAAAGATGTAATTAATTCTTGTGCAAAAAAAAAAAAAAAAGGGAAATGTTTATAAAGAATGTTAAAATGTGTTCTTCTTATGTGTTTATATTGCCTTAAAGGAGAGACCCAGTAAACAGACTGCCAAGCACAATACCCTGATGCACCCTCAATAATCAGTCTGTAGACTATGCCATAAAATGATTATGTAATTGTGGATTTAAACTGAGAATCCCTGCTACAATGCCAGATTAAGACAAGCCCTTACAGCCTCAGCAAATAAGGTAAGTTTTTATATACATAACATTTTTCACAAACATATGTCACAAAGACGCTTTACAGATCATTATTCATTCACTCCACACCCGGTGGTGTTAAAGTACTATTGTAGCCACAGCCGCCCTGGGGCAAACTGACGGAAGAGAGCACCAATCTGCGCCACTGACCCCTCCGACCACCACCATCTCTCACGCACACACCACTTTCATACTAAGCAATGTGGGTGAAGTGCCTTGCCTAAGGACACAATCACAGTTTTTGTGACTGGCATCCCACCATAACCTATACGCAAGGCAGGTTGACCTAACTGACCTGGGGTCATACATTGATGCAGCTTTATTTTAGACACATGATATGCTGATATGATGTGCTCTGTGCTAAAAGTTGACAAAGTGTTATGAAACATTTATGAAAAAGCTATAGCTTGACCTAAACCTCCTGGCCTGTTGCCCATGCATTATTATTTGAGGTATACCTATAGACATGCAGCTCTTCACAATTTAGTCTTTTAATGTTTGAGTTTTTATTTTTTGTAACGTGTAAACTAAAAGAAGTTATTTTATGTAACAGGCTGTAAATGATTAGAGTTGTCTAAAAGGCGCAAGATGAGTACTAATGTAGCATGACTAACACAGACAACAAAGTTGAGAAATGTGCCAACTGCCTTGTTATTACTTTGTTTGATGCAAAAGAAGTATAACAGCACAGATAGCATATAACTAGTACTTATATATATATATATATATGTTATCCGTGTATAATGAATGAATGAAGTAATAAATATAATTAATTTCACATATAAAAAAAGAGATACAGGTTGACACAAATTTGTAAAACAAGCACCAAAACTCATATAGGCCTATTGCATGAATGCCACAATAAAACAATACCAACAGAGAGAATCTGTCTCAGAGCAAGCATTAAATTGATGGTGAATGCTTTATAATCCTCATGAAGTAATCTGGGAGAATGTGCATTTGGATTATCAGTATGAAATATAATCTCTAGCACGCTTCTCTCAGATGTTCATGTGGAAGCCACAAATTTGTTTAGCACAAATGTGTTTTGAAGACAAAATGACAAAAAGCGTAATATCCATAAAACTTTGTGCCACAAAAGAAAACAAAGAGAGAAGAAATCACATTATTTGATTAGAGCAACACATAGTGGTAAAATATGATAGGATGGTACATTTAGAACAAATATAGACCTAGATATATTTTTAATGTGACAGAAATTCTTTAACAAGCTCCATAGTGCTAAGTGATTTCTTTAAGGACTACGTAGGACAACTTCCCTCAGAGGAGACTTCTCATTCAAGTGCAGACTCGTACCAGAACAAAGAGGGTGGAGCTCCATCTCATGGTAGCAAATAGTTGATGCATCTCAATCCTAAAATAATTTCATTTTTATTATTTACAACACTTTAACAAAAACACTAGACCTTAGTAACATTTACATCTGACATGCCCTTTCCCTTTTCTCTTGGGACACGGCCCATATTATAAAACTCCAGATTTGGCTTCATGTCAGTAAAGTGGGCGAGCCGATTGGACATTGCAAAGAATGCAGCAATTGCAGCAATGTCCCAGGCATCTTCTTCATTGAAGCCCACCTCCTTTAAGGACTGAAAGTGCTTGTCTGTGATTGTGTCACAACGACACACTGTCAGAGCAAAATCGAGCATTGCTCGCTCTCTTGGTGAAAGCTCTGCTGTCTGGTAATTAACAATCACCTGCAAGAAAGTAAGGAAATAAATTAACAGGGATCTTAAACGTGCAAAACATGTTCATGGAAACTGATCTAAATGAAAGTGATACCTCATCACAAACAGTGGGTTTCTTTGAGTAAATGCGGTGTAGTGCACTATGGGAAATTACACAATAAAGACATTTATTATGAGCACTGGTTGCCACAACAATCAGTTCACGATCTGCCTTGGTTAAATTCCCTGAAACACATGATACAAAAAAAATTATAATTATTATTATTCAGGTAGTTAACTTTGCAATTGGAACAATGCCAACACTGTAATTTCTCATTTTATTTCTTAGTTGTAGCATTCAGATAGCCTAGATTTTTAGGTAGAATGAAAAATTAAATACAAGGTCACTATTGACAGTAAAATTGTTTGATAGGATTAAAAAATAATCTTCCATAATATTAAGCAATGCCACACCTTGGATTAAGTCAAGAAAACAAAACACACCTGTCTCTTTGTTCATAAGTTCATTGTAGTATGCAAAGAAAGCTCTAAACTCTGCAGGTCTGTGGGAAAGAACTTTAAACACGTTGGGTAAAAAGCCACCCTATAAAGATATAAGCTTAAATGAAACAATGATAACTTCAAGTTCAACAAAGGATGCTTTTAAGATAGGTTACCTTTGACTCCATTTCCTCCATAAGTTCCACCATGTCATAAGGCAAATCTTTTTTGTAAGGAATAGGATAACGACTGATTTTCTCATGTGGAGGATCGCTGGAGAAATATTTCGTGTTTTCAGGTTTAAAGGCAGCACTCATCTTGACATAGTTTTTCCACTAGCCGAAAGATAATGTCTTAGTTAATGGGGACAGTAAACAAATAGAGTAGCCCACTTGTTCAAAACTTACTAGTACCTTGAGTGCATGAAATCGCAACGACTTGGAGATAATACTGTACGCCATTTCAGGCCGTCGAAATTACAGCTAAAATTGCTTGATTTTAGCAGCCCCGTAAATGTCACGTGAACGGTCCTCTCTTGAGGAGAGTCTGGGTCCAATCGGCGCGAAGCTTTCAGTTACACCCATGCGTCTAGTAACTTTAGTCTATGGTAGTAACCCAGATCCGTGAACTCAGGACGACCACTCATATTCCGTGGCTCTTAATGCCCTCCTGAACACAAGGGGGCGCCGATACTTAGGCGAGATGTACATTAACTTCTCATTTGCCTTTCGCGTCCAAACACAATTTGAATGTTGATTATAAATAAAATACAGTGTTATAAAAATATATATATTAATACATGCATAAGCCAAGTCTAAAATATTTTAGCAATTGCGTTATATCCGGAAGATAAACTTAAAGAAACGAAACTCATCGGTACCATGCCCCGGAAGTGATTGTATAATAGAACTTGAGAGCCAAACAGCTTTTGTTCATTCAGTGAAATCATTTGGTGTCATTCTTAAAAAATTGTGCAGTTTTTGCATTTTACTTTGTTCAGATATGTTTTACCATGTAAGCCGGTTTCCTTCTTTATGGATTTGTTATAAATTGCGTTTTGTTGTATTTATTACTGGTTGAGTAGCGAGATGACTGACCCAACCACAGAAGCTCTAATCAATGCGCCCGAACAATTACTTACTGTTTGTTTCTGCTGTACTTTTTGAAGTGGAATTATCCATCTTCTATCCAATTTACTGCACGTTTTATAATTACAGATCTCTTTGGAGCACGAAATCTTGTTACATCCTAGGTATTTCGGCCCCAATCTTCTCAACACGGTGAAGCAAAAGCTCTTCACTGAAGTAGAGGGCACATGCACGGGCAAGTAAGTGACATTTAAACTTCTTTAGTATCGACAATTTCCATGGATAATTAATATTACGCGGTGTGTACAATATTTCAAACTTCTAAAAAGCTTCTGTTTGCAGGTATGGCTTTGTTATTGCTGTCACTACTATCGATAACATTGGAGCTGGAGTAATTCAGCCAGGTAGAGGATTTGTCCTCTATCCAGTCAAATACAAGGCAATAGTTTTCCGTCCATTCAAAGGAGAAGTTGTGGACGCTGTTGTCACTCAAGTTAACAAGGTCTGAGACAATGCAGCAGTTCAATTTACACTGTAATTGCTAACTTATTTTTAAATAGCATTTTGTTTTCTTTAATACATACTGACTTTGTTGATATGATGTTCTTATAAAAACATCTCATCTAAACTGTGCACTTTTGTAGGTTGGATTGTTCACAGAAATTGGACCTATGTCATGCTTCATCTCCCGTCATGTAAGATTTATCGCATTAAGATCCTAAACCCAAAACTGGATGCATCAGCTGCTGTAGATGGTGTCACTGACATGGTGGAAAAACCTAAAGCTACCCCCCAGCTTTGCTGAATTTGATTTGGGTTAATTCCAGTCACTTTCATAAATGCTGTTATCCACATAATTTTGTAACATTGACTCACTTCTCCACTTTCAAATGTACAAATTTACATATACAAATGTAATGCCACTCATGTATGTGATTAATTATTTAAATACATTTACCATTTCAGTCTATTCCTTCTGAAATGGAATTTGACCCTAACTCGAACCCACCTTGTTACAAAACAGTTGATGAGGTAATGTAACTGACAATGTCTTACCTAATGAACTAATAATAAATATAATTTTAAAAAAAGATAATAATCTTGTTTTCCTCAACATGTTTTAGGACATTGTAATACAACAAGATGATGAGATCAGATTAAAGATTGTGGGTACAAGAGTTGACAAGAATGACATTGTAAGTTGATATGCATGTTTTATACAGACAACATTAGTGTTTTTATTTGATTTGATTTGATTTTTTTTAATGTCATTTACAAATTACTTTTTCAGTTTGCCATTGGATCTCTGATGGATGATTATCTTGGTGAGTATTATTTATGATGGTACACCCGTTAATTAAACTCTGGGGGCAATGATGAATGGACAGAGCGCTCAAGATAAATATGTGCCAGCTTTGTCCCATGTCTTGTGTTTCCTTGTTTTGTGACTTTTAATACTAAATAGACCCTTTAAATTGCTATGCTGTTTTTCTCTCATCAAAAATGCTTAGCATCTATTATAATCTCCTAAACAGATGATGCAAAATACATGTCTACAAACCAGGCTCTGATACCACTTAAATGCAGCCGAGTGGTTTTCATTTGCCAAACTCCCCTTGATGTTTCATATTTTGTGGTATTCTTCATTTCCCCAGTGAAATCGCAGTATGTCCCACTTCACCTTTGCCTCCAACTGATTCCATTCCAGAATTCAGAGTGTTTTTGTTTACATTTATTTACATTTATTTGTATCTAAGATACATTGGACTTGCAATCAGGTGTTTGTTTGTTTTTTTCCACTCAAAAGCAGATCAATATGGTATGCACATTTAAAAAAAAAAAAAAAAAGCAACCATGCAAACAGTCTTAACTTGCAGTTCAAAGACAGCACTACTAACACAATTGCTGGAATTAAATCTGGTCATGTGTCTCCCTAAACCAAACTAAATGAATAAGAATATATTCTATATATTGTATTTAAAATATTTGTTTGTGTCTAGGTCTTGTAAGCTGATTTGACCATCTGGAAGACTGTTATGGAGATGTTTTATAAAGTAGCAGTTGTTTTTCATTGTTTAAATGATTTGTTTTCAACAATTAATACCTTAATGTGTAGCTTTTTAAAATTTTGTTCAACTTTAAAGTTTTATTGGAAAAATTACACATTGTAAGTGATTACCAAATAAATTGTACATCATTACAACTGAATATTTAGAATTTTACAAATGGCATACTTTAAAAAAAAAAATTGCATTCCAATAAAAAAATATTTTGGTTTTATGTTTATTGTACAGCCATTACATTTTTCATCAAATAATTTTGCAATTTATAGTGGAGTTGTTAAGGATCAAGAAAGTGCCCAATTGTTCACTTTTATGGTACAATCGTGAAACTTTGCCAGATTATTAACATCCCTAGGACCAACATTTCTGGATATGGAACCAAGGCCAAGTCAACCCTGGAGCCGAGTACTGTGCTTGTCACAAAATGGCTGACATGGAAACAAGGCTGGGACATAAATTGCTGCTTAAACCGCCTTTTTTGGAAAATAATGTTAAATTATCATATAGGTTATAAAGAAGAATATGTATTCTCAAGATACTAGCTACTGCAAAGCAGTTTTCAATGCTGTTTTTAAAGTGAAAGTAAACTAATCACAAAAAATATTTGCTACTAAACTAATGGTCTTTTTTTAAAGGTGCATGGTGTTACTTTTCTGGTCACCATGGAGATGTTATTGTTTCGTCTGGAATGTTTCACTGTATGGTATTGAACATTTCTAAACCAGACCAAGTTACAGGTCAGATCTGTGGAAAGGCAACCTTGTTCACAGTCAGAATGTCCATTTTGCTAGGTATTTTTGAGCTATAAAATCACTTGTAATTGAATAAATGTAAGGTAGAGCTGTTTAATGTCACACTGTGGAACATTCCAGGCAGAGCAATGACATCTCCATAGAAACAAGCAGGTGGCAGACCCCCAATCAAAAATTTACACAGTGCATCTTTAATTGTACTATTTACTGTTTCTAGTGCTTGTTTGATCATTTTAGAGCAAACTAGGTAAATTTGCAAAATAATCTGGTCAAAAATGTATAAAAATGAGTGTGTGTGAACTCCAGTGCCCTCTGTAGTATCAAGTACTATGTGACATCATGCAGGACTATCCTGATTACAGCCAGTTGTTTCTGTTTACAAATCCCTGGCTGCAGTGTAGTGTGGATGTTAGACCAATCACACTGCTCCTTATACCCCCTCGCCCTGTCCCTCTCTCCTTTCACTCTCTTCTTTAGCTCTCCAGGTATCACTCAGTTTATCATCTCTATTTGAAATGTGTTTGTGGGTGGAGTTTAGATGTTTAGTCCCACTTTAAGGCAAACATAAAACTTCATGAACATAATTTTGTGTAGGTTTGATTTTCTATCTTCATTTCTCTCTCCTCCTCTTCCTTTAGCCTATATATTCAGTGGTTAAATCAGGTCATCGGTCTTCCTTTTAGTTTCTTTAATACAGTCTGAAATATTCAGACTTTATATAACCTTAATTTTATTTTGAAAATACCTTGAAAAAAACAAAACAAAAACAAAACATTAATTCTTATTGTGAGTGGGGTCACCGCTCTGTATATCTGACTTGTAAACATGACCTGGTTGTGCCACTGGCTTGTCTCCAAGAAGATAAACAAGTTTAATGCCATACTGAGGAACAATATAACATTGCCATTATCACTCCCAGCAGAAAAGTTACATAGTACATCTTTAATACTTCTAATACATTTTTGCCTAAAAAAATCTGTATTCATTAATATTTGAATTACCAGTGTGTAAATGACAATCCATTTTATTATCCTTACCATAATAACTGAATGTTAGATTTGCAGCATCTGCTCTTACATTGTCTTTTAAAGGGTCATGGCAACAGATTAAAATTTGATCCCATCCCAGGTGACTGAGAACACCTTTGAAATTGTGGAGATGGTGATTTCGGATTATGACCAAATTAAGGCAAGATTGGTTTGACCAGGTTTTGTGATGGTGTCATATTTTCACTGCGATCTCTCAGTCTGGAATGAGCTGTAGATATTCAGACTATAATCTAATCTAAAGAGGAGGCTCTGTTCACACCTGTACTACAGTGAGAAATGGATTGTAATAAAGATATAAACCCATTATTAAGACCACAAATTTACTATGTTTTAGACTCAAATGTTAAAATTAAAGTCTGATTAAATAAATATTTGCTTAAACAGCTGAAATAATATTTTTTTTTCTTCCCATAATGTGAGGGGTACAGGCTATGTAAAAGGACAATGCAATTTAACATCTTTAAAGGTTCACAATGTAACATTTCAAGTGGAAGGTAAGATACCTGCTTGTCTCCATGGAGATGTTATTGCTTTGCTTTCACAGTATGACATTAACCTTATCCATCTCCCAGGTGACAAGCACGAGACACTGCTAAATGTAAGAATGTATGTATTTTTAGGTATTTGAGCAATAAACACATTTTCAATCCTTAACTGAATAAACACAAGACTGATATGTTTAATGCCATACAGTGAAAGATTCCAGACAAAGCTATAACATCTTCATGAAAGAAGCAGATTGTGGATCCCCCCACCAGAAAAGTCATCATGCACCATTAAGAATTTTAGTATTTTAAGACACCAGATCTACACAGGCCTGCAGATTGGGGATGGAAGCATGATTGCAATCAGTGGTTACCATTGTGGACCACGCTCCCCCAGACAAAGGACACACGCTGTGAACTTATCAAGTGTGGATGCAGAGTAGCCTGTGCTGGGCGATGCAAGTGTGTAAAGACAAATTTGGCATGTACAGGTTTATGCAAATATGGTGGCAGCTGCACTTAAGAGCATTTTGCATAAGTTTAACTATTTAAGGTAGATCTCTATTAAGTGGTGTTAAGCATCGCTTCCATGCAGCATTTAATCATTGTTATGAAATACGATATGACAATTACAGATCTTTAGAGATGGTTAAATTGTTTTTGTTATCAAAAACCCAATAATTATGACTTTGAAAGATAAAATATTGTAATAACCCACATAACCCTTACATTCTCAAGGAACGCGGTCATGTGACCTTCTTAATGCTTTGGAGTTTAGAAAAAAATAGTTGATCAACATTTCAAAGTGGATAACTAAGCAAATTAGACTATAAGAAGGGGATCATGCAATGTTTTTTTTATGCCAGCCTCGTTTTCATACAGTCCATTTTGTGACATGCGCAGTTCTCAGCTCCAGTGTTAAATTAGACTTGGTTCCATATCCAGAAATATTAGTCCTGGGGGTGTTAGTAATCTGGCAAAGTTTCATGCTTGTACCATAAAAGCTAATTATTTAACAGCTCCACTATTATATGGTTATCATTATTTCTATGCATGATTATGATGCACAGATATGATTATGAAGAGCTACCATGGAGGTAGAGTCCATAGAACTATAATAAAATCCTAAATATAGTATAATAATATGATCAAAGTTGTTATTATAGATCGATGGTTGAGCCGTGTGAACTAGACGCTAGCACTACGCCAGCTGCTGGGCACGCGCACGTGTATTGGACGTAAATACGTCAGTGGAGCGTGCTTACGTTCTTTCTTTTCTCTCGTCCTGAAGATGGCGGCAGGGGTGAGTAAGATGGAGAGGATCTTTTAGAGTTGTGATTTTTCAGGTTTAATGAGACCATCCGCTTAAAATCTGAACCATCTTTAAGAGTACTCGCATAAACGATGTCTATTGTACTGCACCGGACTCAAATTGTCACTCTCTTGGCAATATTTTGAGACGAATCCATTCAGACGGCTTCATATTCGGTGCCTGCTTTCTGCTTGACGTTGCTTCGAAAGCAAATTGCGCCTCTTCTCAGAACGACTGCCACGTAACATCAGTCACTAGGTGTTATCCATTTTTGTCGTTTTAATCAACCTTTTGTCGTTATGTTTCAACGTTTAACTTTGAAGTAAAAGGTGCAAATCCTGGTGTCTTAACCATTCATCACAGATACTATGAAACACGGGCAAAAAGCCACGTGAATTTGTCTACCCAAATTAATCAGCTCTAGTGCAGTTTTTATTTTTTAATTTCAGCGTTATTTTTAATCCTCTTTACTGGCCTGACACACGGGTTTATCTATTCTGTATTTGAGCTTAGATTTTATTATAACTGTGTGAATATTCTTTTTTTTTTCCAGACCCTGTACACATACCCAGAGAACTGGAGGGCCTTCAAGGCTCAGATCGCAGCCCAGTACAGTGGTGCTTCACTCAAGATTGCCAGCAACCCCCCTGCCTTCACCTTTGGGCAGACGAACCGTACACCTGCCTTTCTAAATAACTTTCCCCTTGGCAAGGTTCGCACAACTGATAGCCAAAAGATCATCTACTGTTTAAATGCTGTTTGCTGCCTTTATTACTAGAATATTTTGTGCAGGTACCTGCTTACCAGGGAGATGACGGCTTCTGTCTGTTCGAGAGTAATGCCATTGCTCATTACTGTAAGTGTGCATTGGTAGATGATCTTAAGACATAAGCTACCATCCTAAAATGTTTTTGCTTTCAGTGAGCAATGATGCCCTGCGTGGTGCCACTCCTCAGGCAGCATCCCAGGTGCTGCAGTGGGTGAGCTTTGCTGACTCTGAGATCATTCCTCCAGCCAGTGCATGGGTTTTCCCCACTCTAGGAATCATGCAATTCAACAAACAGGTACATCATAGAACGTCATCACTTCTCTTCATTCAGCTGTGGTTTAGTTCAGTTTATTGACTCTAGTTGTACATGGAATAATTGAGTATAATTATCATTGTTATTGAGTATCAGTCAGAGTGATAACAGTGCTTTGTGTCTAGGCCACAGAGCAGGCAAAAGAGGATGTGAAGAGGGTCCTAACAGTCCTGAACCAGCACCTGAACACTCGTACTTTTTTGGTGGGAGAGCGGATTAGCCTGGCTGACATCACTGTTGCCTGCTCCATGCTTTGGCTTTACAAACAGGTTGGCACTGATCAAAATTGACCTGTGTTAATGGTACTAAAAATAAAATTTTCATTTTGCAGGTCCTTGAGCCTTCATTCCGCCAACCTTATGTCAATGTTAACCGCTGGTTTGTCACCTGCATTAACCAGCCACAATTCAAAGCGGTTCTCGGAGAGGTGAAACTGTGTGACAAGATGGCCCAATTTGATGGTGAGCAATTTTCTATTCTGTTTGTAACTGAACAAATTCAAGAAGGGCTATTCTGTGAATTAGTCATGTTTTTGCAATTGCTTTTTTTTTTTTTAACAGCTGTGCAAGTCCTCTGCTTTATGCAGTAAATGCTTTTTGGCTATTATTAGTTGTGCATTTCATTTGTATGAGAATTTTTATTTGTCAAAGTGGTAAACATTTCAGAATTATTACTACCCCTAGTAATCTATTTAACATTTGGCATTAAAATTTAGGTCTAAAATTGTTTTCTTTTGACTATGTATTGTGTTGGAAGTGTTCAGTTGTACAATGGATGATTCAATTTGATGATTTGAATTTGCAGCTAAGAAGTTTGCAGAGATGCAGCCAAAGAAGGAAACTCCTGCTAAAAAAGAAAAAGCCGGTAAAGACGCAACAAAGCCCCAGGAAAAGAAGGAGAAAAAGGAGAAGAAAGAAGAGAAGAAGCCTGCCCCAGAGGAAGATGACATGGATGCGTCGGATGCAGCATTGGCCAGCGAGCCAAAATCAAAGGACCCCTTTGCTGAGCTACCTAAAAGGTACAAATTTTTTTAAATGTACCAGTTACAACTACTGGATAATTGTTGGTATAAATAACTCTTCTTTAAAAAACAGTGTTTAGCTTTTATAGTCTACAAATAAAAATTAGTATTGCATTATTGCTCATTATCCAGTGTTTTAAGTCCCCTGTCATTGGGCAAGGCAGTGTCCTCATGTGGCACAAGTCTTAATCTGATGGGGGAAGAAAAATTTCAGGCCATATTCATCCCAGTCACCTCTGATAAGTGAGCATAGGCTGGTTCATGCTGTGGGCACATTATAAAATGAATGAATTTCACTGCATCTGCATATGAAGGATAACTTAAATTTTGTTTGTCTTTTCAGCACATTTATTTTGGATGAATTCAAGAGGAAGTACTCAAATGAGAACATTGAGAAAGTGGCTATTCCTTACTTCTGGGAACACTTTGATCGCGAAGGCTATTCCATCTGGTATTGCGAGTACAAATTCCCCCAGGACCTAACTTTAACCTTCATGAGCTGCAACCTTATTGGAGGTAAGGAAGAGCACACTACAAATATTTGCTTTAATGGATGATTTATATTTTTAAATATATAGATTAATGGACAGTGGTCAGAAATGCAGTTGGTGGGAATGGATTGTCTGCTCTGTTGACTTTCCTGTGAATATACCAGGCACTTGGCATGAGCTTTATATCAGTTATGGCATTGGTGAAACTCTTTATTAAAAGTTTTAAAAAGTGTGGGAAGGGGGGAAATAACTTGTATGTGCACTGTTACGGGAACTCGGTTGGACACAATCTGATTTGAAGATTGTGTCCAACTGGACTTTGCTCAGCTTTAGCAACTTACCACAAGCATCACATCTACAAGCCAGCAATATGTAGAATTGCAAGCCTGTCTGTGCAGCTGATGGACAACTGAGAAATACTTTGTCCCCCCCAGCAATTTCAATAAATACGGTCCAATTTCTACCAAAAGTCATGTTTATAAATGGGTAAAGTGCACACTTTTATAGTGTGTTTTAAGGACCGCACACTTTATTTGATAGTGTTTTTGTAATGCTAGTCATTTCTTATGTTTTAGATTTCATTTGATTGTGTTTCTTTAAGGTATGCTTCAGCGCCTGGATAAACTGAGAAAGAATGCTTTTGCAAGTGTTCTCCTGTTTGGCACTGCTAATAACCATGCCATCTCTGGACTTTGGATTTTGAGAGGCCAAGAGTTGGCTTTCACAGTAAGTAAAAGTAAAGGCGCATGTCCACACACTAAAGTGCAGTGTTTCTGCAATCTGCATGAGCCATGCAATTTTTAAGTTTAAAAGGGGATTTCTGATGAGGATGAACAGTTAATTGCAAGAGCTTTGCACAGGTTTGAATTCATCCCTTAGCAGCCATCACACAACCTGACAAAAGCCAAAATGTGTGCTGCCAGAATAGGTTTTATTGATAAAGCGTTCATAGAAAAGTTTTTGGTAAAATGTGACCAAAGGCAACTTGATATTGAAATCAATTCATTCATTTGCTGTGTATAAATGTAGCACTTTGTGCTACATTTGTAGAAAGTAATGTAGACAGAAACATAAAGGTCATAGTAAAAATGCAGAATTAAAATTTGATAAAAATGAATCTGGATTAAAAACTTTCAGTTTAAAGGATTAAAAAAAACATGCTCAGAAATGGGCAAATTTGAGTAAGTTTGTTTGTGTCCATACATACTTCAAATCACAATTCCACCTAAAGATAAATTTAAGATTCTCAAGTTTTTTTTTCCTCATAACTCAAGTTTGGTTTCTGTTAATTACCCCTGTCATTGGGCAAGGCTGTGTCCAAAAATGACACGATGTCTTAATCTGACGGGGGAAGATAAACTTGAGGCCATATTCATCCCAGTCATCTCTGATAAGTGAGCATAGGCTGGTTCATGCTGTGGGCACACTTTAAAGTTTTTGTTTCAAAGTCTCAACGTGGCAGCTGATTTGTGATTTTGGTGCTGTAGAACATTTTGCTTAAAGTACAAATGGCTATTTGACATATGAAATACACTTATTAAAAATAATTGTATCCAAATGATAAACACCACTCATAGTGAGTACATTCATACATGGGTAGGGAGGGAGAAAAATGAGACTGCTTCCTGTAGAGAGCAGGGGTGTGCAAACTTTTTTCATCAAGGGCCACATATCTAAACACAGATGTAGCAGAGGGCCGATTGAGGGCTGTAGACTGATGCTCAGTACAGGGAATAATTTAAATATGTGCATGTTTAACACATTAGAATGAGCCATTAGTCTTTATTCATGCCAAGATCCTTAAAACCACACACTAAATATGAAATATTAGCTTCATCAAGGTAGATTTTCAAAAAATTTGCAGTAAAAATATTTTCTTAATTGATGCAAGGTAATTTGGGCCAATTCCCCTGGAAGTCTGAGGGCTGCATTTGGCCCCAGGGCCATAGTTTGGTCATGCCTGCTGTAGAGCCACATACTGTTCACTGTGGCGCCTAACATTTCAAACTGTTTGGCTTCCAAGGTACGACATTAACAAGGTGTTGAAAGCAATCTTGTGCTTAACCCTGCTTGCTTTTTTTCCTTAAAAATCCTGTTTTGGCTGTTAATGTATAACTTTAGATTAGAACTGTATTTAGCTGTGACACACCCTTTACACGTGAAGGTAAAGTTGTGTTTTAATCCTATTTGGTCATGATCACTGATTAAATAAGCCTGAATTTTACTTACGATATAAAGCTGTTTTTAAAATGTGCTTTAGAAATTAATTTAAATTAACTTATTTTATAGTTGTGTGCCGACTGGGGAATCGACTATGAATCATACAGTTGGCGCAAATTGGATCCCAACAGTGATGAATGCAAGCTGATGGTTAAGGAGTACTTTCTCTGGGAGGGAGACTTCAAGCATATGGGGAAGCCCTTCTGTGATGGCAAGATCTTCAAGTGAGCACCCAGGGACACTGCGCCAATGCTCTTGACACTTACAAACTCTCTGCCGCTATGTGCTTAACCACAAGATGACTTGGATTGACAAAGTTTGAAGATTTTTGTCTCAAGTGGCCCAATCCTTTGGTTTTGATGTGAAAATAAAGCATTTTCCACAATGCCACTTATGGGGGATTCTTTTATTTAACATCTTTACTTTCCCACTTTGGATAAATAAACAATTGAAATGTTTGCGTAACATCTGGCCTTTTTATTTTGAAATCAACATGCGTACGTAATGGTCTTTATTAAAGTTTCTTGAATTTGCCTCTGTTCCACTTTGTCCTCTAGAGGGCAGACAAGGGCAAGTAGTTACCCTTGATGGCATTTCTCTGGAGCTCAAGCAGTGGTGTACCAGAGACCGGCAAGTAATTAAGTATATTTTTATTCAGCAATTTCAGTTTGGCAAAATGCTGCATATAAGGTAATATAGCATTGAGAAACCATGGGTACCTTATTTCAAAGAGGTAAATATTTGTCTTCCAAGATTATTATCCAGTGTGCTTTATAAAGACTGGTAAAATGTTATCTCATGTATCCTAGACATTGATTTTTATTTTTTCCAGCCTCTGGTAAATGACCTTTTGTCTTTGAAATCTGCATAGACTCTTGTATTGTCCTTGTTGGTTTAGACTTTGTACAAGGATGACATTTCAGAAACATTTATCAAGATTCCTTCATGTTAAAACAATGTCTTTATTAATCTTATCTACATACAGATCTATGAAAGTACAGTGCTAAACCTCAAATAAATGGAGAAACTTGTGCAATGAGTGAAGTGATTCAAGGTTTGCTGTGCTAGGATGATTTAGGGTCATGTTGGTGCAACCATCATCTGAATCAGGGAAGCCATTTTAGTGTTTTCTGTGGCCTCATGGAAATCAGAAAATGGAAATGTGCCCACAACAGTGAAGCGCCCAAGTCCTTGAACACATGACTCACCCATCCTGTGGCTCACTGAAGGAGGACTGTAACTTGAGCAAAGCTTTACCCTGTGCTGTGTGTTTTAGTTACAGCACTAGCTATGGCTAACCCTTAGGCTGCTGAAGTAGAGGTGAGGCCTGCCACAGCCTTATCTGTTATCCATAGGAAATGGTTTCTTATTGTATTGTTCAAAATCTCACTTTGTTTTGGTCATTTTGAACTGTTCTTCACTAAGGAAAAGCAATAGTTTAGAATTTTGATGTTTAATATAATTCAGTAGTTTCAGAGTTAAATAGTTCAACTCACAAGAACAATACAGAGGCTTATGCCAACAGCAACATTTCTGTTTCTGCCCTGCCAACCATCCTCCCCCCGTTCTACTTCTCCCCTGGCGTGACGCACTCTTTTTCCTTCCTACTTGCCGCTCCTTACTCATTTTTTGAGTATATGCACAGAGGATTTTTTTCTGCAAAGTAGCTGAGATGAGGGAGTGCCTGTGGGGGAAGAACAGAGAGAGGCCATATTGTTTTATCACCAGGACCTTGTGAGGTTGTCACCCCCCTGATGAGCTTTAGGCATGGTATGCATGTGCTGAGCATTTGGTGGTGCAAGAGAAATGTCAGAGTAAAGTCAGCCTGAGGAGGGAACACTAAACTTAACATGTCTTATATCTCACATTGTTGCAAAAGTACATAACAAAAATAAATTATATCCTGTCTTACACAGCATTTCAACATATTTCAACTTATCTGTGCTGGACATTGTGACAACAAAGAAAACCATATTTTCATGCCTATGTTCTCATTTATTATATATTTTAGTACTTATGCATACTCAAGTTTGAAAACATGTAAAAGTAATCTGAACAATATCAAAATATTTAAAGATGTGATGGTTGATTCTGGATGTAATTGATCCAGATATCTACACAAATATCATATCATCAATTAATTATAAAATGTAAATAAAATTCAGAGGCCATTTGAGGCTTATTCGAATTTTTTTTTTTTTTTTTGAGGTACCCCTCATAGCCTTTTTATAGTGGTGGTAATGAACTTCTAAAAGGAATATTTAGAAGATATTTGCGCCATTTTTGCTCCACTTTGGAGCTGATCTAGTTCCACCCCTTTCCTGTGTAGTGTATGGGACATCCCAGGCTGACAGTGACAACACAGCCACAGTCCCAACTCCTGTATTTATAGAGGCTTTTTAGACCATACACGGGGCCTGGGCTACAAATGGCACGCATGCACAGATGCTCATGTATCGTAAACGTTGCTGAAAGTAATGGGGGAAGGACAGAAAATAAACTGTAGTCAGCACTTGAAACTCACTTAACCCCATTTGTCCCCAATCTGAATGTAACATATTACAGACAGTAGGCACATGGAAAAAAACACTTATACAAATCATGATAAATCAGCAACACATGGATTTTAAAAGCATGCACATTTTCATACCTGGTTTAGAGTAAGTAATATGACCATTTGAATATGTGCTTAGTAGCATCCATTTGTCTCCCATTTTCTCATTTGTACACTGCCCATTATCCTGTAGTACTTGAACACAGCATGGTAAATCAGTCCTGGAATGGAATGAGCGAGGTCAAAGGTGAGTCTGCTGAGGAAAAAATAGCAAAAGAAGGCAAGCAAAGACAAGATGATATTGTAAAAGAGTCAGACAGGCGGGCTGAAATGGTGCGGGTTTACTTGGGGCAACTTTTATTTAGATAATGTAATATTTTTTGGGTAATTTTCTAAAGATGTTGTGTTGCCTTGCAACAAAAGTTGCCACTGGCAGGAGTAAATGCTTGTCTTGAGGGAGGAGAGGCGAGGTACAGCGGAGGGAAAACAGACAGCCCCTGCTCTTTTGGACATGAAACCCCAGTGTTGCATCTGGCTCGTATTACAAGACTTTGGAGGTGTGGCAGTTGAAGATATTGTTAAACAAGAGTGTATTACACATACTTGTATGGCTGTCTTGCAAACGCTTGCTGATTCTAGCTAGTTTATCTATTTCATTTTCCTTCAGCCACTTACCCTTTATAAGTTTAGGGTGTAAAGTGAGCAACTCTTTATTATGTGTACATAATACATAGGCACAGAAACAATGCTTTGTGGTTAGGGTGAGTTAAAAGCTTTAATTGTCAAAGCTGTGGTAGCAGTGTTTTAGGAAAAAATATTGGTTGTCATGATGGGAATTCTGAGTCTAAAGCAAAGGTGTTTTACTTACCTTGTGTCTCTTAGTTGTTTTTGTTGTTTGCCATCAACGAGAGGTTTGAATAAGTGATCTGAGGTTTATGTTCGTCTCAACTCCAGCCCCGTCTGAGAAAGAACAAATTGATACTTCAAGTATTGACTTGTTGTTGGTTATATCTCATCCAAGTGAAGACTTTGAGTATTGGAATGTTTACAGTTATGGCTGGAATGTGCAGCCCAGAAAGGTATCAGCTTGTGTTGAAGCACAGATGGGAGTGGAGTTACAACAGAGAAGCTATTGCAAAACCCCACATCTCTTAAAATGTCCAAAAATGAATATGTACAAAACTTCATAGGCAGGCCCAGTACTGTGTCTTTGGTGTAGGAGATGGCATGCTCAAACAATTGAGCAATACTAATTCACCTAGAGGCACTTTTTCAATTGGCCTAATCTTTGTGAATGCTCTGTGTGCTGGATGTGGCAAGACTGGACCTGTCCAGGGTGCTTCTAGTAAGTAACTGAGTAGGTTTGATGAGGAACTAGGACTATTTGGATGGAAACCACCCTAAACGCATCATGTGCCCTTTTATCTAAAATAATGAGTAGTGCATAACGCAGCACTTCTTGCGGTAATGTAAACTCTTGTGTCACATGTGATATTTATCCATACACACACAGGGCATTGTCATGGAAACATCCTCGTAGTACCTGCCCCTTGCTTATTATGTTGCTATAGCAGCCATCCCAGAATAGTCGCCTTTCCCCCCTCTGTGTTCCTCCCTCGTGTTCGTGACTCACAACTTGCAGTGGAAACCACAATTCAATCTGTCTCTCATTCCCCTTTTTCCCTTGCATTCTTCACTGCACCAAAGGAACAGTTTGCCTAACTGAATCATCTGCATGTGCTGCGGGGAATTCCACATAGATTGACGATGAGTTGCTATGGTAATTCCAAATATCAGGCGCTGACCCCGTGCTTGGAGATTTGAGATTCTTCTTTTTTATCACAAGTAGACTGTGCTTGTGTCTTTGAAACACTGTTCTTTCATCATAAACACAATGTAACTACGGGTCAACTTTGTTTGCTGTAAATTGTCCAGTCTGAGGTACCTTTTGATAACTTAATGAAATCATAGCTAAACTGTCAATAAAATGTATTCATGTCAAGTCTCATCTTAAGTCTCATCTTAAATACGTTTTATGCAGTCACAATGTGCATTTTTGTTATCAGCTCTAGAGGCTCTAGTTTCACTATTCATAAGCTTTGATTTTAATAGCAACTGATTAAGAATAAGTGTGCAGCAGGCCTATGTGTTTACATGTGGACGCAAGATCCCCATTTCTAACTTTTCTTCCCTGCTAAAGCATTTGTCAGCACTAACAATGCAGCATTGTCCAAAAAGATCTAATGAAGAAGGCATACAAAGAACATCTCTATTTGCACACAGTCTGGTTTGTGTTGTGGAGTGCCTGCGTTTGAGGACAAGTCATATTTAACTGCATCTAAAGCCAGAGTAGTTTGACCAGGAACTATGAACAAAAGGCATCAGTTTAGTGTTTACACAAAACTTATATACACAATTACAGGCTTCATTCATGCATGTGTTTTTTGTAAATTGTTGTTTTTGTATTTGTTTCATGATCTAGAAACTTCTTGTGATGACTCATCGTTAACAGCCTCCTTGCCAAACTCTTCTACTTTAATGCATCTCCATTGAACAAAAACCTTTATTTCAGAGTTACGACCTTTTGGAAATATTGAACATACAATTTTGTTGTTAACAGTTGTTTCTTAGTCCAGATATTTAACCATAACTACACGATTGAGGCAAGTTGTACAATAGAACTTTGTGTGAGCTTTTAGTTGTCGTCTTTTGTGTTGCTTTAATCCTGATGTTGCACAATCTTATTCTCGCTACCCTGCCAGACTTGGCAAAGCTACATTTAGCTGCAGAGAGAAATTTTATTTAATAGTGAGAAAAATAATTGTATCAAATCAAACTGAAATCAGTAAAAATCTTTTTTTTTTTAAATATTGTGTGTAGTTTTAAGGACAATAACACAAGTTCAACCCAACTGTTAGACAACAACTAACCTGTTGATTTTTATATCCTCTGTTGTCAGAGCTGCCCTGTTTTTGTTGAAGCTATCATTGGTGAGTCATTGTGTGTCTGAGCCAAGCTATTTGCGCTGGTTCGCACTGGTTGACACACCTATGAACAGCAGACACACCCATTCCCACATTTCTTTGTATTCGACTACAGTGAGCTTCCACAGCTCCATGTTAGGCAGGCAAATTTGCAACAACATGCACGGATGTACCATTTTTCCAGTCGTTGTCCTCAATGCATGGCTACTTGCGCAACTTTTCTGGTGTGCCTGTGCCCAGACCTGCTTCTAACTTGCTAAAATTGTTTCTGACTTGAATTTAGATTTGAGCAACTATAGCATAATGCTTTTGTTTATATCAATAATAATATAGAGCAGCTGTAGTAGTAGTAGGTACTGTACTCTACTCTACTGTGCAATAGTTAGAGCAATAGCGTTTCTGTTAAAGTAAAGGGCAGGGAAGAAAATCCTTCAAATATGTATAAGAATAAAAATAACATAAATAAATAAGAGAGAGCCTTGAACTCGAAGATTGAAACTGTCACGTAAAAAAATGTATGTCTTTAAACTAGTGATGTGTAATACCAGTTATTTCACTGCACTCACACGTCACTGGGTTACTGGGTATTAGCTGGCATCACGACAGTCTATAGTCCCATATTCTTTTATTGAAATCAGGACAGGAGAAAATCCAGTTTTTGCTTATCCAGTTCAAGGTTGTGAGGGCAGTCCTTTGAGCAGGGACTCTCAGCCTTCCCTCATCCCAGACACTTCATCAAGCTCATCATGGCAGACCCCAAGGTTATCCCAGGCCAGTTGAGAGATATAGATATAGTCTACTGCAATTTTTGTTTTTTATTTTTGCATTGAAAATGCAATGGAATCAAAAGAAAAAACTGCCTCCTGTTTACCTAATCTGAATATTGCCTGATAATCCACATTCTAACACTGCACTTCCTTCCTGAAGGGAATTCTTGTACCACAGTAGCAAATACAGATAATATTAAAAAAAAATTAGTAAAATACTTTTTATAAAAACAATTTTATATACACATTTGAATGTCTAACATCCAAGGCACAACTTTATTATCAGTACCTCACTTTACCAGTGCTATCAAGACTATGGCATTCTATGACGTTCTAAAGCCACATTCTGCATCTACCACTAAATACTGTACTTCAGACTCTGTACCTGTAATTACTGCAGCCTTGATAATTACCCTTCACATTTTAAGAACTACTCCTGCGCTTATTATCCATAATAAAGATACACATAAAATATTAATGTATTTGTCCAAGGAAAAGAATGGCTTAAGAGTTTTTCAAAATAGATACATCAAGGAGCCATAGGAAATGTTATGTTTAATAATGGAGTTTATGAATATTGAAGCAGTTTCTTGTAATTAATAAATAGATTATTACTATTCCATGCCAAATCAATGTTTTCATATTGTATGTTGTTTTTGTCTCCATGGAGATATTGCTTTGCCTGGACTGTTCCACAGTATGGCATTAAATGTAAATGTCTTAAATTAATTTAATTATTATTGCTTTAAAAATACCTTTAAACAAGCATTTACTCATCTCTCCTGCATCTTACCTGTAACTTGGCCTAGTTACCTGTTTCACGGAGATGAAACACATTTAAAGACATATTCTAATGTACAAAAACTGTACAATGATTATGTCTCATAAAGCAATGTGTCCTATGTCTATTGTGGGTAACATTTAAATAATGTGTTAAACAGTAGGCCTCCTTTAAGTGTACAAATTATTTTGCCTGCATGTGAAAGTGGCTAACTGCAGGGTCCTGTTTACTGAGTGCTCATTATACCATAGTAAACTTCCGAAAATACCCTGCAGAAAGTTGTTGAACAGCAGACAGGTATTACAGGTGTCCTGTTGTTTACACACGAGCAGAGGCTCTATGGCACTCTTTCAAAATGTATTTCAAAGGCTGTGCCTCCACCTTGCAGCATACAAGTCAAACATGGATACAGAAAGCGCTAACAGCCAGGTACAGAGAATGACTGACTTTAAACTTTATTGTCACACAGACCTCTGTCATTCCATTTGGTCAAAAAACTTAACATGATGTATTTCCAGAAAATACGTTCAATAATTATTTTGCTCAAGTAAGAAAGAGGGATTCCAAAAACATAAAAGGGGTTAATGTGTGCAATAAAAAATCAACACCTACTATGATAGAACAATTAAAAGTTAGTGCTTATAGCAATATTCTTACTTTGTTATGGACTTTTTTTTTATGAGCGTGTTTGCTTAGCAGCAACTGACAACGGTGAAAGCATGTACAGACAAAGGCCAGAGTTTCAGAGCCAACTAAAAGATGTGAATTGTATAAAGAAACACTGGAATTTGATTGAAATATACATTTGTACTGATATAAATTGAATAACAATGTCTTCTTTGCAATGCTTATAATGCCAGTTGTAATTATAAAGATGCAAGGTTTAAATGTATCATAAATGTATAATAATACAAAGTTGCTAACATGTATTTTGTTAACTTTTCAGTGAATTTCTTCATGCACATCTTTGAGTGGAACCCTCCATGGGAAGCAGTGGGTGGTCCCAGTACAGCAGGTTACCACTCCCTCACACCGGTCACCTCCCCTCAGGTTCCCTCCCATTTCTCTATTCTGCAAACCAGGAGCCATACCCAGATCCCTGTCCAGCCACTCCACTTACCCAGAGGAGCAGCCACACAGCATACTGAAAAAACCAACAGGCAAAAATCAACAGAGGGGAGGGAGTCCAGGAGGCGGAGGGGAAGGAGGAGGTGAAAACGCCCTGGAAATTTTGATAGAGAAATAGGAAGGCTTGAGAAAAGCAAACCAGACTGCACAGTTGACCAGTCTTTTAGACAACGCTGATCTTAGGTTGGGTGGAAGGGAAGAGGTTTTCAAGGATGCTCAAGCAGAAGTAAGGCTTCGAGGCGCCCCTGCTGCGCACAGGTAAAGACAAACTTTTAAAGTGTTTACTTTTTAAACTTTACGTAGGTGAGGTTACTTTTTTCTGTGGCCACAGTTCTAAACAGTGAAAACCATGTCTATTTATTAGTCTATAATATTATATATCTATCTATTATATATTTATGTGCATTATTCAAGTTTGTTAAAACTTGACATTGTTGTTCAGTCTTTGATAACTTTGCTTGGTCATCCCCAAATAGTGAAAGTTGTTTTATTATTTATTGGTGTTACATAAAAGTTTAAAAAGTGGGTCAGTGTAATAGTGTGAATGTAATTAATTAAATCCAGTTAAAATGAAGCTTTGGATGGGAGGTGGGTGTGTACTTGCCATCACATGAAGAGACAGTTGCGCAGTTTACTTTTGTGCACAGGCAAGGGTACGAATATTTAAAGGGACTGTTTTACATAATGTTTTGCATAATGCTGTGGATAACATGGACATCTAAAAAGATAAAAATGAATGACTTGTGTATTTTTAATTCACAGATTTTAAATTGCATTTGAACAGGTTTTAAGGGTTGTCTTTGCACCCACAAGTTTAGATCAGTTTGGCAGTGCTTGTTTGATAACTTGCAGGCTTGTTTTTATGAGCTAAAGCTGTCTGATACAATCTTGATTTGAATGTGTTTAACAGCCGTCTTTATGGGTTAGAAAGTAGACATACTTTACTGTGCCTGCAGCAACAGGCTTGGGTGTGGATTCTTCTTGTTCAGCGCCTTCCACCCCCTTCTTTCTCTACTCCCTCCCATTTTGCTGTGCTGTCTCCTTACCAAGGCACACCCTTTGTTGCCAAAAAGCAAAAAAAACAAAACCCTTCAGACCAGCATCTCTGTGAACGTACTGAACAGTTGTAATGTATGATAAGTAAGTAACTCCTTAGATATCACTTTAAGATTTGTTCTGAAATAGGGGTACATGTCAAATATTCGCTGAATGTTGCTCTTTTGCACTAAGTATACATATTTCATATAAACTCCTCCTTATGTTAAATATAAGCTGTGAACGTGTGTTTTTCTGTTGAAGAACAGAAGTGTGAATGATTGGGGGGTTATAACAGAGTCAGAGGAAAAGTGTGCAAGAGAAGGGGGAAGGGCGGGTGAGGAGGGGAGTAATGGAATGTAGTGGTTTGGAAAGACAAGCTAATTGAAACCAGGGCAGAGCCGTAGCATATACAGGGGGAGACAAGAAGACCACTTTTTTTTGGGAAAAGAGAAAGAAACAGTACTTATAGCAGTATGTTTATATATATATATATATATATATATATATATATATATATATATATATATATATATATATATATATATATATATATATATATATACATACATACATACATACATACATACATATACATAAATATATAAATAAATAATATATATATATATATACACACACACACATATATATATATATATATATATATATATATATATATATATATATATATATATATATATATATATATATACATATATATATATTTATGTATTTATATATGCATATATATCATTGTGCCACATATACATTTGTGGCACAAAGATCATGTATAAGTTCATAACAGACTTCTTGCCACACCCATGTACTGTGTCTTTCACTTTTGGCTTCCTTTTCGCTCAGTTAAGTGGCATGCAGCTGTAAATGTCTAGCATATTTTGGAATGCTCCTGTCGAGGTGATTGATTGTGACACAGGTTGCAGGAAGAACCAAATGGTTGCACAAGTTTTTAGGCTCTTTTAGGCAGTAACTGCTTATTTACACTATATATAGGTTATTTAGGGTTAATCGGGACTTACTACTAAGCTTTGAGGTGTGATTTTTTTTTATGACATGTCCTCAGAGGTGTGTCTAGTACGAGGAGGGACAGCTTGTATATGTCAAGTGTTTATAGCTAAATGTTTACAGAGATGTCTTATGGTTCAAGACAAAAAAAAAAATAAAATAAATAAATAAAAATCCAAAACAAAAACAAAAAAAACCCAAAACATCTTGGCCTTTTTTATCTGTCATACTTCATGAGTCTTTGAAATTTTAGCTTCTTGGTGTTATGATATTTGTCACAAACTCCATTTATTTTTATCAGTATATGGGCTTGCAGCATTACAGGTTTGTACCGTTGTTAAACAGTCTTCTCCACACTTCCTTTGCCATTTCCTGGTTTGTGGGTGATTTCAAAGAAGGGACATTATGGAGAGGCCGTTACAGGGGTGGATAGTGTTGTATCACTTTTTATTTTTCTTGTACGTGTAGCGATATGATTATTTCTATAATGCAATGACTTTTCAAAATTCATTTTCAAAATGTTGACTGAAGACTTCTAGATGCTATTCAGATATACTGTATTTTTTATGAAAGTCATGAATTGTTCACTGTTGTTTGTTATTTTGATTTAATAATGCCACTGTATTTATTTAAATATCTTCTGGCATGTGTTTTAGAGTATGTATAGTTAATACTCAAAATGATTAACAATTAGTAGAGTAGAATTTTAATAGCCCTTTAGGTCACCTAAGGTCAAAGTTCTTCAAAGTCCAAACAGAAAAGTGGCACAACAATTTAAAAAAAACAAACCTTTATGCTATAATTAAGAATAAACATCTGTGCAGTGTGTGTGATTTCATAAGTCTTTTGAGGCAGTCCACACAGCCACACCCTTGTCATCTTTCCAATACAGCTTTGAAATGCTTCAGCATGTCCTTGCTCTGTTTGTTTTGCCTAGCAGTGTTTTGCTTGTTGTTGGTTGGGAAATAGTAAATTGAGAAGTAAGTTAAATTGAGATCTGTTAGTGAGGTATTTATTTCTAGTCTACTGAAGATTAATGATAATTGATGATGATGATAATTAAGTTATTATATTATTCTCATCGCTCTCTCTCTCTCACACACACACACACACACACACAAAAGACAAACAAAACACGTCACAACAACACACAACTTATACATGCATATATGGTATGGTACATATTCGAAGAAGCAGTAACTTTCATTAATTTAATTCAAAAGCTGCACGTAATAAAACAAATCTGACACTTCTCACGCTTTAACCTCCACAAATTGTGTGGGGTTGCCAAGAGTGTGGCATGGCATGCAGCATCTGTTACAAAGTCTATTTAGAATGAGGCGCTCAAAATGTCAAAGCACTGACACTGGAATGTAAATTTAGAAATACATTAGGCTTTGTTTAGATCTGCTTTATTTCATGGGCAATATTTTAGGTCAACACACAGGCATAAACAAGCCTACATTTTAAAGGGATCTATGGTATTGCATAAATAATATAATTTTCTGTTTTCTGACAGTCAACATTCTTTAATTTATGTTCATGATTTGCATATTTAATTTGCTTTTACTGATTTAAAAATGTGTGCAGCTATTCAAAAAAATTATCTTCTATTGATCGCCCCAGTGACTGCCCCAATGAAGTAAACATGATGTAAATTTTTTTCTTAACTTTTTTGTGTAAGCATTCATTATATTACATTCATATTTTGTTTCCATCCAATTTTCCAATGACCAGGATGATGAACCTCATGTTTTGGGTTTCCAGAGTCTATGACTATAACTTGCTGGCAATATACCTAAAATGACTGTTAATTAGCTAAATGCTCACTTTCACAATCCCAGCACCAGTCCCCAGATACTCCAAACTAAAAATGCTGTGTAAAATGAATCTGGCGATTAATTAAGTCAGGCTCTTAAGTCAGCTTTGCCCATATTTCTTCTATGGGCAAAGCTATGATATCATGCTATAATATAGCATGTCTATCCATACCTTATTTGAAAGTGTAGAAACACAGAGCCAGCTCAGTGTCCTTGTTTTTCAGACTTTTTTTTTTCTTTTTATACACAGCCAAAGTTACAATTTGTTCAGCAGCAGACCAGATTGCCATCAGTGGGTAGAATTTGGTCTTCTTCAGGAATTGTGGTCTGGTTTAGGGCTGTGTGGACCATGGTGAACAGGAATAAGCTGTGGATCATGCAGGCCCTCTGTTTGTTTTCAAATGCACCCTTCTGTCTTGTCTCTGTAACATTTCTTTTATAAATTGACAATGGTCTGAGATAAACAGAGAAGATAGGTGTTTTGACATTACTGACTATTCACTTGCTCTTTTCACAGTCTTTCATGTGTCTTAATTTCACTCCTGTTTGAGCAGTAATCAGTGTGACACTGCTGTATTTTCCAGACAACAGTGATAGGGTCAATCAGTGGTTATCTCCATAGTACAACTGCGCTTTTTTCAGTGTTGACCTGGTTTGGTGCATGTTGCTATAATAAACATTCCACACATGTAATTCAGTGTATCAGAAGAGCTCAGGTGAAAGGTGAAGAAGAAAAACATGACAGTGGGGTAGCATGTTGCATCAGCTGTTGTTTGGGTGAAAGCCTGAAGCTGGATGACTATCACAATGATAAGGAAAGACATATATTGCATTCCAGATTTGAATACTTGCAGATATGCAATGTGTGTTCATGTCTGTGGGGTTCTTGTTTATTTGATCAGAGCCTGAAGCCTGAGTTTGTGGTGGACTGCCTGAATTGGTGTGGGGTGGGGAGGGGGTCGGCAGTCAGACAGGCTGCAGAAGGGAGGCACAGAATGGAGCTCGCTTCATAGAGAAAGAGGACATTTCTTTGGAGTTACTCACTGCAGGGAGAGGCTGGGCTCCATTCCAGCTGGCCTGACGGCTCTATCAAGGAATGTGTGTGACTAGAGGCCTGGGTGGGGCCATGTGCTGCACTGCTCCCTGTGCAAGCAAAGCAGAGGTCTAGAGATGTGATCTCATGGAGAGTGTTATGGTATTTCTACTATACCATAGCATGTGTTTTCATTTTCAGCAATGGTGCTCATGTTACCCCCTCTTATGCAATTTGACATGTACATTCTGACACTTTGATAATACTACTACAGGTGAGCCCCTGTAGTAGTAATAATAATAACTTTTCTAACTTTACAAGTCACTACACAGTACTTTGTTTGGTGATGCTAACCTCTCTGTTGCTATCTCTGCCTTGGGGAGATAGATGTAAGGTAGACCCCACATTTATACATAGTGAAGATGGGTGAAGTATTTAGCCCAAGGACACAATGACAGCAGGCACTGGTGGGAGCTGGAACCAAGTCACTCACCTTTGGGTTAGAGCATGCAATGAACATACCAATTAGATTAATTAGTACGTCGTACACGCAGTACATGGTGTTCAAAGTGTACACAGCTGCTGCAGGTTGTACACAAACAATTGGTTTACCCTAAAGTCACCGTTGATGGGCAAAGGAGCATTTTTCAACACACACACACACATGCACACATACACACGCACACACACACGCACACACACAGACACATATATACATTTTTTTAAATGCATGTTAAATACATAAGTACACTGAATGGTGCACTTGCTTGAGCTTGTCTTCTCTTGCACAGATGAGTGAGTAGGGATTTATGTACTTAGTAGGCGGGTATAATTACAATGTGAGGAAATTCATTATTAACAGACAGTGATATGATAGAAGGTACAATGGCCTGTTGTACTGAAGTATGGCATCTCAGAAAATGAAATTACTAGTAGATATTAATTTAAATTTTTTTTTAATTTTTTTATTTTTTATCTTTGCAGAAGTCAAGAACCAAAGACAAACTTTCAGAGTGAAGGCCTTGGCACTGCTTGAGCAATCCAAGGTAGGTTTAAAACTACACTGTCATCATTGTTAATTAAGCTTAATCAAGTTAATAAAGAGGATCCTATTTAAACCACATAATTTAGTCATGACAACATTCTTTCATATTGTAAACTTTCCATTTATCTATTTATGTATTCAAATTCTATATTTTAATATGATTAAAAAATACAACAATACCACTACTACTACTACTACTACTACTACTAATGATAATAATAATAATAATAATAATACTAATAATGATACTACCACTACTACTACTACTACTACTACTACTACTACTACTACTAATAATAATAATAATAATAATAATAAAAAAGGTGCTATTTGGTCTGTGTATGTTCATTCAGGATCACATCAGTTTCTAAAAATATCTTACAATTTAAGCAAGTCCTCATCATCACATGCAAGTTCAGTAAGACACAACTTTGGGTGGATGGCTATTAAAGAAAAGTCTATAGAAACAAAGTGAGATGTAACATGGTGTGAACTCCATCTAGTGTTCAATGTTGGTTCCTACATGTGTCCTATCCACTATTTAAATAGCACATTTTATAAGCTTTGATGTTTCTAAAGCACTGCACAGAAAACCATTAAAAATAAATTAATCAACACATTGATCCAGGGTCCTGAAACACATCTGGAACATGTGTCGTGTTTGAATTCTACAAACAGTGTTGGTTGGGACTGCATATATTATTTATTATATTAAATATAACAGCCTTACTTAAACTCTGGGTTTTTCATTAATATTTAAAAATGTCAAGTGTCTCTGTGTCACTTTAAATTGACTTGATCCTTAACCAGAGAAACAATTGTAAAACATCATCCACATTACTTCTGAAATAGACACTCAGACAGTCAGAGACAGTAGTCTCTAGCTTTCACATGGGACTTTCACAAGATCTATTACTATACAAATAAAACAATACAAATGTGATGACACCTATTTCATTTATTATATTTCATAATAGAGACACTCTTAATAGAAATAAGACATCATACTAAAAGTAAAAATGTATTACTAGTAAAAATGGTCTCATTGTCTTTGATAAAATTTACCACCCTTTGCAGGAAAACCAAGGCTGACCTTCAATCACACCAGAAGTATAAAAAAAAAAAAGACAAGAAAAGGTGACATTTCTTTGTTTTATATCCAAATTATTGGAATATCTTTATATAGAGTTTAACCTCTATTAACAATAAAAATTCTGCAGATGGCAGAAGAAGAAGAAACCAGAGAAGTGTTGTTTCCGGACTGGGAAGGTCCAGATAAAACTGGCCTTACCCTTGAACAAACAAAGGAAGGTGAGCTTTTTGTCAAGGAAGTCAAAGGAGAATCACCAGCAGGACGATCAGGAAAAGTTTATGAAGGTAAGAATATGGTAGTTTCAGGTATTTTTTTTTTTTTAGAGTTTCCCAAGCTGCAGCTGCTACCCATTGCTTTTTTTTTTTTTTTTTTTAATAGGTGATCAGGTTGTTGGTGCCACTATCTATTTTGAGAATATGACCACAGAGGAGACAGAAGATTTACTGAAAACATTGAGTCGACATAAAGTTGGTCTGAAATTACAAAACAAAGACAAATCTCCTCTTTGCTCACCGTGCCGCTCACCAATGGGTACTTTAACATGGGAAGGGAGTCCCCGGTTTGGAGCTACCAGTCCCCGGTTTGGAGCTACCAGTCCCCGGTTTGGAGCTACCAGTCCAGACATTCTCCTTGTATGTATATTAAAAAATCAATTTATTTGTGCCCATTGGGAAAATGTTAAGAATACTAATAATCATCATAATAATAAAAAAACTTCTGTATTTTGATTTGTCCCAACAGAGTGGTGATGACGAAGACTATAAGAGAATATATACCAAAAAAATTAAACCCAGACTGAAGTCTGAAGATTTAGCTGAAGGAGTGGACGTACGGACTGAGAGGCACAGCAGCACAAGCAGCGATGGAAGCACAATAACAACCATTACTCGTCGCATTACTACGTATACTGTGGATTTTCCTCATGGTATAAGTGAGCAACATGAACTTTCAAGTCCTGAGATCAAAGGGCAAAGACAGAATTCAGAAGATGACTCATCCCAAATCAGAATGTCACATGACAGCCATACAGGTAAAGCAGAGGAGGGAGTTTTTGAGTTCAAGAAAGTTTCTCACACAGGGCCACAAATTAATTTAGCTGATACAAGATGGGGCACTGGAGGTATTTATTCCAAAAGTATTCAAAGAGAGGGAGATATAGAGGGAAATAAAAGCATTGGTTTTACAGTTCCTTCATGTGAACTCAGAATGCGCAGTGAAGATGGAAAGCTTGAGGACGGGGACACGGGCCTGCAGGACACAAAAATGGCGCAGAATGATAGTACAAACACTGGTAGTAGGATTGTCGCAATAGAGCGACTGAGAAGTGAAAATGTAATTTCAGCTGATGAAAATGGAGGGTCTATTAGTATGTCTGTACCAGGGACAATGCATATAACTACACAAGAAATTATGAAAACAAAAAATCTAAACTCTGAAACTGATACAGATGAAAGGACAAATATGAATGTAACTGATGTTAGCTTACCTGGTAATGTAATTGGCATCTCTAGAATTGAATCCAGGGGGCAGGGGGAAAGATCTGTACATTTACCATCAATAGGCATAAAATCCTCAGTAGTTAATGAGGAAACAAGCACAAAACACAAAGGGGATAGCAATGTGAATTTTTTGACCCAAAAAACAGAAGTAAAAATATCAACAGTAAAAGTTCCAACAGTGGATATCAAAAGCCAAACAATTAAAGGAACAGATTTGGATGCAGGTGTTGGAAATATAGAAGGCATAGATGTAAGTGGTGCAAAAATAAAAATGCCTTCAACTGAGGGGTCTAGCCTAACTATGCAAAACATAAATATCAGCTTGACAGGCCAAAAAGTAAAAGATGTGATTGAAACTTCAGATCAAAGAACAAATGTTGATGTTAAACTTCCAAATGTTGAATTGCCGGAGGTCAACACTGATGGTGGGAAAGCTGGATTTCAAATGCCAAATGTAAAAATGACTTCATTTAGCATCGAAGGTCCAAAATGGGAGGGTAACGTTCCAAAGACTGATAAAGACATGACTGCAACAGTTGAAATTATGGGTTCAAAAGGTGGAATTGAAATGCCTAAAATCAAAATGCCCTCAATTGACATCAGAGGTCAGAAAATGTATGATGACAGAAATGTTCCAAAAGCCGAGGTAGAATTGACAGAACCAAAGGTTGACATTAATGTCCCAGGTGCAGACATTGAAGGACCAGATGCACAGTTTAAAGGAACAAAAATTACTTTACCATCAGTTAAAGGTCAAACACTTCCAGACATGGACATGAACCTTAAAAGTCCCAATCTAGAAGGAGATGGTAATATGTCAGTTCCGAATATTAAAGGTGAAGTCAAATTTGATATTAATCTTCCTGATGTTGATACTGAAGGACAAGAACGAAAACTTAAAGGGTCTAAATTTAGTATGCCATCCATAAAGGGTCCAAAAATGCCAGATTTGGACATAAACCTCAAAGGTCCCAACTTGAAAGATGTTGATATTTCAGTTCCTGCAGTTGAAGGCAAAGTTAGTGCACCAAAGGTTGATGTATCGGATGTCAACACTGAGGGCACAAAAGGAGGATTTAAAATGCCAAAAGTCAAAATATCCTCATTTAGCATTGAAACTCCGAAGCCGGAGGGTCCAGAAATTGATGTAAGTCTTCCAAAAGCTGAAACTGACTTGAAAGGACGAAAAGTTGATGTTAATCTTCCTGATGTTGACATCAAAGTACCTGATGGAAAACTTAAAGGGCCTAAATTTAGTATGCCATCCATAAAGGGTCCAAAAATGCCAGATTTGGACATCAACCTCAAAGATTCTAAGTTGGAGGGAGATGTTGATATTTCAGTTCCTAAAATTGAAGGCAAAGTTTGTGCACCAGAAGTTGATCTGCCTGATGTCAACATCGATGGTACAAAAGGAGGATTTAAAATGCCAAAAGTCACAATGCCCACATTTGACATCAAAGCTCCCAAACAGGAGGGTCCAAAAGTTGATGTAAGTCTTCCAAAAGCTGAAATTGACTTGAAAGGGCCAAAAGTTGATGTTAATCTTCCTGATAGTGACATTGAAGGACCTGATGGAAAATTCAAAGGGCCTAAATTTAGTATGCCATCCATAAAGGGTCCAAAAATGCCAGATTTAGACATAAACCTCAAAGGTCCCAAGTTGGAGGGAGATGCTGATATTTCAGTTCCTAAAATTGAAGGCAAAGTTAGTGCACCAGAAGTTGATCTGCCTGATGTCAACATCGATGGCACAAAAGGAGGATTTAAAATGCCAAAGGTCAAAATGCCCAGATTTGGTATCAAAACTCCCAAACTAGAAAGTCCAGAAGTTGATGTAAGTCTTCCAAAAGCTGAAATTGACTTGAAAGGACCAAATGTTGATGTTAATCTTTCTGATATTGACATCGAAGGACCTGATGGAAAACTCAAAGGGCCGAAATTTAGTATGACATCCATAAAGGGTCCAAAAATGCCAGATATGGACATAAACCTCAAAGGTCTTAAGTTGGAGGGAGATGTTGATATTTCAGTTCCTAAAATTGAAGGAGAAGTTTGTGCACCAGAAGTTGATCTGCCTGATGTCAACATCGATGGTACAAAAGGAGAATTTAAAATGCCAAAAGTCACAATGCCCTCATTTGACATCAAAGCTCCTAAACTGGAGGGCCCTAAAGTTGATGTAAGTCTTCCAAAAGCTGAACTTGACTTGAAAGGACCAAAAGCTGATGTTAATCTTCCTGATGTTGACATTGAAGGACCTGATGTAAAACTTAAAGGGCCTAAATTTAGTATGCCATCTATAAAGGGTCCAAAAATGCCAGATTTGGACATAAACCTCAAAGGTCCCAAGTTGGAGGGAGATGTTGATATTTCAGTTCCTAAAATTGAAGGCAAAGTTAGTGCACCAGAAGTTGAGCTGCCCGATGTCAACATCGATGGTACAAAAGGAGGATTTAAAATGCCAAAGGTCAAAATGCCCAGATTTGGTATCAAAACTCCCAAACCAGAAGGTCCAGAAGTTGATGTAAGTCTTCCAAAAACTGAACTTGACTTGAAAGGATCAAAAGTTGATGTGAATCTTTCTGATATTGACATCGAAGGACCTGATGGAAAACTCAAAGGGCCGAAATTTAGTATGCCATCCATAAAGGGTCCAAAAATGCCAGATATGGACATAAACCTCAAAGGTCTTAAGTTGGAGGGAGATGTTGATATTTCAGTTCCTAAAATTGAAGGCAAAGTTTGTGCACCAGAAGTTGATCTGCCTGATGTCAACATCGATGGTACAAAAGGAGAATTTAAAATGCCAAAAGTCACAATGCCCTCATTTGATATCAAAGTTCCTAAACTGGAGGGCCCAAAAGTTGATGTAAGTCTTCCAAAAGCTGAACTTGACTTGAAAGGACCAAAAGTTGATGTTAATCTTCCTGATATTGACATTGAAGGACCTGATGGAAAACTTAAAGGGCCTAAATTTAGTATGCCATCTATAAAGGGTCCAAAAATGCCAGATTTGGACATAAACCTCAAAGGTCCCAAGTTGGAGGGAGATGTTGATATTTCAGTTCCTAAAATTGAAGGCAAAGTTAGTGCACCAGAAGTTGAGCTGCCCGATGTCAACATCGATGGTACAAAAGGAGGATTTAAAATGCCAAAGGTCAAAATGCCCAGATTTGGTATCAAAACTCCCAAACCAGAAGGTCCAGAAGTTGATGTAAGTCTTCCAAAAGCAGAAATTGACTTGAAAGGACCAAATGTTGATGTTAATCTTTCTGATATTGACATCGAAGGACCTGATGGAAAACTCAAAGGGCCGAAATTTAGTATGCCATCCATAAAGGGTCCAAAAATGCCAGATTTAGACATAAACCTCAAAGGTCCCAAGTTGGAGGGAGATGTTGATATTTCAGTTCCTAAAATTGAAGGAGAAGTTTGTGCACCAGAAGTTGATCTGCCTGATGTCAACATCGATGGTACAAAAGGAGGATTTAAAATGCCAAAAGTGAAAATGCCCCAATTTGGCATCAAAACTCCCAAACCAGAAGGTCCAGAAGTTGATGTAAGTCTTCCAAAAGCAGAAATTGACTTGAAAGGACCAAAAGCTGATGTTAATCTTCCTGATATTGACATTGAAGGACCAGATGTAAAACTTAAAGGGCCTAAATTTAGTATGCCATCTATAAAGGGTCCAAAAATGCCAGATTTGGACATAAACCTCAAAGGTCCCAAGTTGGAGGGAGATGTTGATATTTCAGTTCCTAAAATTGAAGGCAAAGTTAGTGCAGCAGAAGTTGACCTGCCCGATGTCAACATCGATGGTACAAAAGGAGGATTTAAAATGCCAAAGGTCAAAATGCCCAGATTTGGTATCAAAACTCCCAAACTAGAAGGTCCAGAAGTTGATGTAAGTCTTCCAAAAGCAGAAATTGACTTGAAAGGACCAAATGTTGATGTTAATCTTTCTGATATTGACATCGAAGGACCTGATGGAAAACTCAAAGGGCAGAAATTTAGTATGCCATCCATAAAGGGTCCAAAAATGCCAGATTTAGACATAAACCTCAAAGGTCCCAAGTTGGAGGGAGATGTTGATATTTCAGTTCCTAAAATTGAAGGCAAAGTTTGTGCACCAGAAATTGATCTGCCTGATGTCAACATCGATGGTACAAAAGGAGGATTTAAAATGCCAAAAGTGAAAATGCCCCAATTTGGCATCAAAGCTCCCAAACCAGAAGGTCCAGAAGTTGATGTAAGTCTTCCAAAAGCAGAAATTGACTTGAAAGGACCAAAAGCTGATGTTACTCTTCCTGATATTGACATTGAAGGACCAGATGTAAGACTTAAAGGACCTAAATTTAGTATGCCATCCATAAAGAGTCCAAAAATGCCAGATTTGGACATAAACCTCAAAGGTCCCAAGTTGGAGGGAGATGCTGATATTTCAGTTCCTAAAATTGAAGGAGAAGTTTGTGCACCAGAAGTTGATCTGCCTGATGTCAACATTGATGGTACAAAAGGAGGATTTAAAATGCCAAAAGTCACAGTGCCCTCATTTGACATCAAAGCTCCCAAACTGGAGGGTCCAAAAGTTGATGTAAGTCTTCCAAAAGCTGAAATTGACTTGAAAGGACCAAAAGCTGATGTTAATCTTCCTGATATTGACATTAAAGGACCTGATGGAAAATTTAAAGGGCCTAAATTTAGTATGCCATCTATAAAGGGTCCAAAAATGCCAGATTTGGACATAAACCTCAAAGGTCCCAAGTTGGAGGGAGATGCTGATATTTCAGTTCCTAAAATTGAAGGCAAAGTTAGTGCACCAGAAGTTGATCTGCCCGATGTCAACATCGATGGTACAAAAGGACGATTTAAAATGCCAAAAGTGAAAATGCCCAAATTTGGCATCAAAACACCCAAACCAGAAGGTCCAGAAGTTGATGTAAGTCTTCCAAAAGCAGAAATTGACTTGAAAGGACCAAAAGCTGATGCTAATCTTCCTGATATTGACATTGAAGGACCAGATGTAAAACTTAAAGGGCCTAAATTTAGTATGCCAACTATAAAGGGTCCAAAAATGCCAGATTTGGACATAAACCTCAAAGGTCCCAAGTTGGAGGGAGATGTTGATATTTCAGTTCCTAAAATTGAAGGCAAAGTTAGTGCATCAGAAGTTGATCTGCCTGATGTCAACATCGATGGTACAAAAGGAGGATTTAAAATGCCAAAAGTCACAATGCCCTCATTTGACATCAAAGCTCCCAAACTGGAGGGCCCAAAAGTTGATGTAAGTCTTCCAAAAGCTGAAATTGACTTGAAAGGACCAAAAGCTGATGTTAATCTTCCTGATATTGACATTAAAGGACCTGATGGAAAACTTAAAGGGCCTAAATTTAGTATGCCATCCATAAAGGGTCCAAAAATGCCAGATTTGGACATAAACCTCAAAGGTCCCAAGTTGGAGGGAAATGCTGATATTTCAGTTCCTAAAATTGAAGGAGAAGTTTGTGCATCAGATGCTGATCTGCCCGATGTCAACATCGATGGTACAAAAGGAGGATTTAAAATGCCAAAAGTCACAATGCCCTCATTTGACATCAAAGCTCCCAAACTGGAGGGCCCAAAAGTTGATGTAAGTCTTCCAAAAACTGAAATTGACTTGAAAGGACCAAATGTTGATGTTCATCTTCCTGATGTTGATATTGAAGGACCTGATGGAAAACTTAAAGGGCCGAAATTTAGCATGCCATCCATAAAGGGTCCAAAAATGCCAGATTTGGACATAAACCTCAAAGGTCCCAAGTTGGAGGGAGATGTTGATATTTCAGTCCCTAAAATTGAAGGCAAAGTTAGTGGACCAGAAGTTAATCTGCCTGATGTCAACATCGATGGTACAAAAGGAGGATTTAAAATGCCAAAAGTCAAAATGCCCAAATTTGGCATCAAAGCTCCTAAACCAGAAGGTCCAGAAGTTGATGTAAGTCTTCCAAAAGCTGAACTTGACTTGAAAGGATCAAAAGTTGATGTTAATCTTCCTGATATTGACATTAAAGGACCTGATGGAAAACTTAAAGGGCCTAAATTTAGTATGCCATCCATAAAGGGTCCAAAAATGCCAGATTTGGACATAAACCTCAAAGGTCCCAAGTTGGAGGGAGATGTTGATATTTCAGTTCCTAAAATTGAAGGCAAAGTTAGTGCACCAGAAGTTGATCTGCCTGATGTCAACATTAATGGTACAAAAGGAGGATTTAAAATGCCAAAAGTCACAATGCCCTCATTTGACATCAAAGCTCCCAAACTGGAGGGTCCAAAAGTTGATGTAAGTCTCCCAAAAGCTGAAATTGAATTGAAAGGACCAAATGTTGATGCTAATCTTCCTGATGTTGATATTGAAGGACCTGATGGAAAACTTAAAGGGCCTAAATTTAGTATGCCATCCATAAAGAGTCCAAAAATGCCAGATTTGGACATAAACCTCAAAGGTCCTAAGTTGGAGGGAGATGTTGATGTTTCAGTTCCTAAAATTGAAGGCAAAGTTTGTGCACCAGAAATTGATCTGCCTGATGTCAACATCGATGGCACAAAAGGAGGATTTAAAATGCCAAAGGTCAAAATGCCCAAATTTGGCATCAAAGCTCCCAAACCAGAAATTCCAGAAATTGATGTAAGTCTTCCAAAAGCTGAACTTGACTTGAAAGGACCAAAAGTTGATGTTAATCTTCCTGATATTGACATTAAAGGACCTGATGGAAAATTTAAAGGGCCTAAATTTAGTATGCCATCCATAAAGGGTCCAAAAATGCCAGATTTGGACATAAACCTCAAAGGTCCCAAGTTGGAGGGAGATGCTGATATTTCAGTCCCTAAAATTGAAGGAGAAGTTTGTGCACCAGAAGTTGATCTGCCTGATGTCAACATCGATGGTATAAAAGGAGGATTTAAAATGCCAAAAGTCACAATGCCCTCATTTGACATCAAAGCTCCCAAACTGGAGGGTCCAAAAGTTGATGTAAGTCTCCCAAAAGCTGAAATTGACTTGAAAGGACCAAATGTTGATGTTAATCTTCCTGATGTTGATATTGAAGGACCTGATGGAAAACTTAAAGGGCCTAAATTTAGTATGCCATCTATAAAGGGTCCAAAAATGCCAGATTTGGACATAAACCTCAAAGGTCCCAAGTTGGAGGGAGATGTTGATGTTTCAGTTCCTAAAATTGAAGGCAAAGTTTGTGCACCAGAAATTGATCTGCCTGATGTCAACATCGATGGTACAAAAGGAGGATTTAAAATGCCAAAGGTCAAAATGCCCAAATTTGGCATCAAAGCTCCCAAACCAGAAATTCCAGAAATTGATGTAAGTCTTCCAAAAGCTGAACTTGACTTGAAAGGACCAAAAGTTGATGTTAATCTTCCTGATATTGACATTAAAGGACCTGATGGAAAATTTAAAGGGCCTAAATTTAGTATGCCATCCATAAAGGGTCCAAAAATGCCAGATTTGGACATAAACCTCAAAGGTCCCAAGTTGGAGGGAGATGTTGATATTTCAGTCCCTAAAATTGAAGGAGAAGTTTGTGCACCAGAAGTTGATCTACCTGATGTCAACATCGATGGTACAAAAGGAGGATTTAAAATGCCAAAAGTCAAAATGCCCTCATTTGACATCAAAGCTCCCAAACTGGAGGGTCCAAAAGTTGATGTAAGTCTCCCAAAAGCTGAAATTGACTTGAAAGGTCCAAAAGCTGATGTTAATCTTCCTGAAGTTGATATTGAAGGACCTGATGGAAAACTTAAAGGGCCGAAATTTAGCATGCCATCCATAAAGAGTCCAAAAATGCCAGATTTGGACATAAACCTCAAAGGTCCCAAGTTGGAGGGAGATGTTGATATTTCAGTCCCTAAAATTGAAGGAGAAGTTTGTGCACCAGAAGTTGATCTGCCTGATGTCAACATCGATGGTACAAAAGGAGGATTTAAAATGCCAAAAGTCAAAATGCCCAAATTTGACATCAAAGCTCCCAAACTGGAGGGTCCAAAAGTTGATGTAAGTCTTCCAAAAGCTGAAATTGACTTGAAAGGTCCAAAAGCTGATGTTAATCTTCCTGATATTGACATTAAAGGACCTGATGTAAAACTTAAAGGACCTAAATTTAGTATGCCATCCATAAAGAGTCCAAAAATGCCAGATTTGGACATAAACCTCAAAGGTCCCAAGTTGGAGGGAGATGTTGATATTTCAGTTCCTAAAATTGAAGGCAAAGTTAGTGCACCAGAAGTTGATCTGCCCGATGTCAACATCGATGGTACAAAAGGAGGATTTAAAATGCCAAAAGTCACAATGCCCTCATTTGACATCAAAGCTCCTAAACTGGAGGGTCCAAAAGTTGATGTAAGTCTTCCAAAAGCTGAAATTGACTTGAAAGGACCAAATGTTGATGTTAATCTTCCTGATGTTGATATTGAAGGACCTGATGGAAAACTTAAAGGGCCTAAATTTAGTATGCCATCCATAAAGAGTCCAAAAATGCCAGATTTGGACATAAACCTCAAAGGTCCTAAGTTGGAAGGAGATGTTGATATTTCAGTCCCTAAAATTGAAGGAGAAGTTTGTGCACCAGAAATTGATCTGCCTGATGTCAACATCGATGGTACAAAAGGAGGATTTAAAATGCCAAAAGTCAAAATGCCCAAATTTGGCATCAAAGCTCCCAAACCAGAAATTCCAGAAATTGATGTCAGTCTTCCAAAAGCTGAACTTGACTTGAAAGGACCAAAGGTTGATGCTAATCTTCCTGATATTGACATTAAAGGACCAGATGGAAAATTTAAAGGGCCTAAATTTAGTATGCCATCTATAAAGGGTCCAAAAATGCCAGATTTGGACATAAACCTCAAAGGTCCTAAGTTGGAAGGAGATGTTGATATTTCAGTCCCTAAAATTGAAGGAGAAGTTTGTGCACCAGAAGTTGATCTGCCTGATGTCAACATCGATGGTACAAAAGGAGGATTTAAAATGCCAAAAGTCAAAATGCCCAAATTTGGCACCAAAGCTCCCAAACCGGAAGGTCCTGAATTAGATTTAAGTTCAAACTTAAAAGGCGAAGTCAAAGGGCACATTAAAACACCAGAGATGGATGTGAAAGGTCAAAAAGTAAAAAGCCCAAAGGTTAAAGTTCCAAAATTCAAAATGCCGAAATTTGGATTCAAGAGTCCCAAGTCTGAAGGCCCAGACATAGATGTAAATCTCCCTAAGGCTGACATTTATGTAAGTGAACCTAAATTAGATATTAAAGCCCCCCACATTGACACTGAAAGTCCCAGTGGAAAACTGAAAGGACCAAAATTTAATCTTCCATCGATTTCTGGGCCAAAACTTGCTATGCCTGATGTTGACTTCAATCTAAAAGGTCCAAAGATGAAAGGAGACATGGATTTGTCTACACCAAAACTTGAGGCAGACATAAATCTTCCAGATGTTGACATCGAATGTCCAGACATTGATGTGGAAGGAATAAAGGGTGGATTTGAAATGCCCAAAATAAAAATGCCTAAATTTGGACACAAAGGTACAAAGGTTGAAGCACCTGAAGTAGATGTAAAGCTCCCTAAAGCGGAAATTGATGTGGATGCACCAAAAGTGGACATAAAAAGCCCTGAAATTGATATTGAAAGTCCCAGTGGAAAGGTGAAAGGACCAAAATTCCACCTTCCATCCATTTCTGGACCCAAAATCACTATGCCCGATGTTGATTTGAATCTTAAAGGTCCAAAGATAAAAGGAGACATGGATCTGTCTGCACCCAAGCTTGAAGGAGATATAAATCTTCCAGATGTTGACATCGAATGTCCAGAAATTGATGTGAAGGGACCAAAGGGTGGATTTGAAATGCCAACATTTAAAATGCCTAAATTTGGATTCAAAGGTCAAAACGTTGAAGCACCTGAAGTAGATGTAAAGCTCCCTAAGGCTGAAATGGATGTGGATACACCCAAACTGGATTTAAAGGGCCCTGAAATTGACATTGAAAGTCCAAGTGGAAAAATCAAAGGACCGAAATTTAATCTTCCCAACATTTCTGGAGCAAAAATCACTATGCCTGACGTTGACTTCAATCTAAAGGGTCGAAAGATAAAAGGAGACATGGATTTGTCTGCACCAAAACTTGAAGGAGACATAAAACTTCCAGATGTTGACATTGAATGTCCAGACATTGATGTGGAGGGACCAAAGGGTGGATTTGAAATGCCCAAGATAAAAATGCCTAAATTTGGACACAAAGGTTCAAAGGTTGAAGCACCTGAAGTAGATGTAAAGCTCCCTAAAGCTGAAATTGATGTGGATGCACCCAAACTGGACTTAAAGGGCCCTGAAATTGATATTGAAAGTCCAAGTGGAAAAGTGAAAGGACCAAAATTCCATCTTCCATCCATTTCTGGGCCCAAAATCACTATGCCTGACGTTGACTTCAATCTAAAGGGTCCAAAGATAAAGGGAGACATGGATTTGTCTGCACCAAAACTTGAAGGAGACATAAATCTTCCAGATGTTGACATTGAATGTCCAGAAATTGATGTGAAGGGACCAAAGGGTGGATTTGAAATGCCAACATTTAAAATGCCTAAATTTGGATTCAAAGGTCAAAAGGTTGAAGCACCTGAAGTAGATGTAAAGCTCCCTAAAGCTGAAATTGATGTGGATGCACCCAAACTGGACTTAAAGGGCCCTGAAATTGACATTGAAAGTCCTAGTGGAAAAATCAAAGGACCAAAATTTAATCTTCCAAACATTTCTGGACCCAAAATCACTATGCCTGACGTTGATTTCAATCTAAAGGGTCGAAAGATAAAGGGAGACATGGATTTGTCTGCACCAAAACTTGAAGGAGACATAAATCTTCCAGCTGTTGACATTGAATGTCCAGACATTGATGTGGAAGGAACAAAGGGTGGATTTGAAATGCCCAAGATAAAAATGCCTAAATTTGGATTCAAAGGTACAAAGGTTGAAGCACCTGAAGTAGATGTAAAGCTCCCTAAAGCTGAAATTGATGTGGATGCACCCAAACTGGACTTAAAGGGCCCTGAAATTGACATTGAAAGTCCAAGTGGAAAAATCAAAGGACCAAAATTTAATCTTCCAAACATTTCTGGACCCAAAATCACTATGCCTGACGTTGATTTCAATCTTAAAGGGTCGAAAGATAAAGGGAGACATGGATTTGTCTGCACCCAAAACTTGAAGGAGACATAAATCTTCCAGATGTGTTGACATTGAAATGTCCAGAAATTGATGTGAAGGAACAAAGGGTGGATTTGAAATGCCAACATTTAAAATGCCTAAATTTGGATTCAAAGGTCAAAAGGTTGAAGCACCTGAAGTAGATGTAAAGCTCCCTAAAGCTGAAATTGATGTGGATGCACCCAAACTGGACTTAAAGGGCCCTGAAATTGACATTGAAAGTCCTAGTGGAAAAATCAAAGGACCAAAATTTAATCTTCCAAACATTTCTGGACCCAAAATCACTATGCCTGACGTTGACTTCAATCTAAAGGGTCGAAAGATAAAGGGAGACATGGATTTGTCTGCACCAAAACTTGAAGGAGACATAAATCTTCCAGATGTTGACATTGAATGTCCAGACATTGATGTGGAAGGAACAAAGGGTGGATTTGAAATGCCCAAGATAAAAATGCCGAAATTTGGATTCAAAGGTACAAAGGTTGAAGCACCTGAAGTAGATGTAAAGCTCCCTAAAGCTGAAATTGATGTGGATGCACCCAAACTGGACTTAAAGGGCCCTGAAATTGACATTGAAAGTCCAAGTGGAACAATCAAAGGACCAAAGTTCCACCTTCCATCCTTTTCTGGGCCCAAAATCACTATGCCCGATGTTGATTTGAATCTTAAAGGTCCAAAGATAAAGGGAGACATGGATTTGTCTGCACCCAAGCTTGAAGGAGATATAAATCTTCCAGATGTAGACATCAAATGTCCAGAAATTGATGTGAAGGGACCAAAGGGTGGATTTGAAATGCCAACATTTAAAATGCCTAAATTTGGATTCAAAGGTCAAAAGGTTGAAGCACCTGAAGTAGATGTAAAGCTCCCTAAAGCTGAAATTGATGTGGATGCACCCAAACTGGACTTAAAGGGCCCTGAAATTGACATTGAAAGTCCAAGTGGAAAAATCAAAGGACCGAAATTTAATCTTCCAAACATTTCTGGACCCAAAATCACTATGCCTGACGTTGACTTCAATCTAAAGGGTCGAAAGATAAAGGGAGACATGGATTTGTCTGCACCAAAACTTGAAGGAGACATAAATCTTCCAGATGTTGACATTGAATGTCCAGACATTGATGTGGAAGGAACAAAGGGTGGATTTGAAATGCCAAAATTTAAAATGCCTAAATTTGGATTCAAAGGTACAAAGGTTGAAGCACCTGAAGTAGATGTAAAGCTCCCTAAAGCTGAAATTGATGTGGATGCACCCAAACTGGACTTAAAGGGCCCTGAAATTGACATTGAAAGTCCAAGTGGAACAATCAAAGGACCAAAGTTCCACCTTCCATCCTTTTCTGGGCCCAAAATCACTATGCCCGATGTTGATTTGAATCTTAAAGGTCCAAAGATAAAGGGAGACATGGATTTGTCTGCACCCAAGCTTGAAGGAGATATAAATCTTCCAGATGTAGACATCAAATGTCCAGAAATTGATGTGAAGGGACCAAAGGGTGGATTTGAAATGCCAACATTTAAAATGCCTAAATTTGGATTCAAAGGTCAAAAGGTTGAAGCACCTGAAGTAGATGTAAAGCTCCCTAAAGCTGAAATTGATGTGGATGCACCCAAACTGGACTTAAAGGGCCCTGAAATTGACATTGAAAGTCCTAGTGGAAAAATCAAAGGACCGAAATTTAATCTTCCAAACATTTCTGGACCCAAAATCACTATGCCTGATGTAGACTTCAATCTAAAGGGTCGAAAGATAAAGGGAGACATGGATTTGTCTGCACCAAAACTTGAAGGAGACATAAATCTTCCAGATGTTGACATTGAATGTCCAGACATTGATGTGGAAGGAACAAAGGGTGGAATTTGAAATGCCAACATTTAAAATGCCTAAATTTGGATTCAAAGGTCAAAAGGTTGAAGCACCTGAAGTAGATGTAAAGCTCCCTAAAGCTGAAATTGATGTGGATGCACCCAAACTGGACATTAAAAGGGCCCTGAAATTGACATTGAAAGTCCAAGTGGAAAAATCAAAGGACCGAAATTCCAATCTTCCATCCATTTCTGGACCCAAAATCACTATGCCCGATGTTGATTTGAATCTTAAAGGTCCAAAGATAAAGGGAGACATGGATTTGTCTGCACCCAAAACTTGAAGGAGATATAAATCTTCCAGATGTAGACATCAAATGTCCAGAAATTGATGTGAAGGGACCAAAGGGTGGATTTGAAATGCCAACATTTAAAATGCCTAAATTTGGATTCAAAGGTCAAAAGGTTGAAGCACCTGAAGTAGATGTAAAGCTCCCTAAAGCTGAAATTGATGTAGATGCACCCAAACTGGACTTAAAGGGCCCTGAAATTGACATTGAAAGTCCTGGTGGAAAAATCAAAGGACCGAAATTTAATCTTCCAAACATTTCTGGACCCAAAATCACTATGCCTGACGTTGATTTGAATCTTAAAGGTCCAAAGATAAAAGGAGACATGGATTTGTCTGCACCAAAACTTGAAGGAGATATAAATCTTCCAGATGTAGACTTCGAATGTCCAGAAATTGATGTGAAGGGACCAAAGGGTGGATTTGAAATGCCAACATTTAAAATGCCTAAATTTGGATTCAAAGGTCAAAAGGTTGAAGCACCTGAAGTAGATGTAAAGCTCCCTAAGGCTGAAATTGATGTGGATGCATCCAAACTGGACTTAAAGGGCCCTGAAATTGACATTGAAAGTCCTAGTGGAAAAATCAAAGGACCGAAATTTAATCTTCCAAACATTTCTGGACCCAAAATCACTATGCCTGACGTTGACTTCAATCTAAAGGGTCGAAAGATAAAGGGAGACATGGATTTGTCTGCACCAAAACTTGAAGGAGACATAAATCTTCCAGATGTTGACATTGAATGTCCAGACATTAATGTGGAGGGACCAAAGGGTGGATTTGAAATGCCCAAGATAAAAATGCCTAAATTTGGACTCAAAGGTACAAAGGCTGAAGGACCCGATATCGATGTAAAACTTCCTAAAGCTGAAATTGATGTGGCTGCACCCAAACTGGACATAAAGGGCCCTGAAATTGACATTGAAAGTCCTAGTGGAAAGATTAAGAAAACAAAATTCCACCTTCCATCCATTTCCGGGACGAAACTGTCTATGCCTGATGTTGACTTCAATCTAAAGGGTCCAAAGATAAAGGGAGACATGGATTTGTCTGCACCAAAACTTGAAGGAGATATAAAAAGTCCCGATGTTGATATCAAATGTCCAGAAATTGATGTGAAGGGCCCAAAAGGTGAATTTGAGATGCCAAAATTTAAAATGCCTAAATTTGGATTCAAAGGTCAAAAGGTTGAAGCACCTGAAGTAGATGTAAAGCTCCCTAAAGCTGAAATTGATGTGGATGCACCCAAACTGGACATAAAAGGTCCCCAAATTGACATTGAAAGTCCAAGTGGAAAAGTGAAAGGACCAACATTCCATCTTCCATCCATTTCTGGTCCCAAAATCACTATGCCTGACGTTGGCCTCAATCTAAAGGGTCCAAAGGTCAAGGGAGACATGGATTTGTCTGCACCAAAACTTGAGGGAGACATAAATCTTCCAGATGTTGACACTGAATGTCCAGAAATTGATGTGGAGGGACCAAAGGGTGGATTTGAAATGCCCAAGATAAAAATGCCTAAATTTGGACTCAAAGGTACAAAGGCACCTGAAGTAGATGTAAAGCTCCCTAAAGCTGAAATTGATGTAGATGCACCCAAACTGGACATAAAAGGCCCCCAAATTGACATTGAAAGTCCTACTGGAAAAATCAAAGGATCAAAATTTAACCTTCCATCCATTTCTGGACCCAAAATTTCTATGCCTGATGTTGACTTCAATATGAAGGATCCGAAGATAAAAGGAGACATAGATTTGTCTGCACCAAAGCTTGAAGGAGACATAAATGTTCCAGATGTTGACATCAAATGCCCAGAAATTGATGTGGAGGGGCCAAAGGGTGGATTTGAAATGCCCAAAATCAAAATGCCTACATTTGGAGTAAAAGGTCCAAAAGGTGACGGGCTTGATGTAGATGTAAAGCTCCCTAAAGCTGAAATTGATGTGGATGCACCCAAACTGGACTTAAAGGGCCCTGAAATTGACATTGAATGTCCAAGCGGAAAAATCAAAGGACCAAAATTCAACCTTCCATCCATTTCCGGGTCTAAAATTTCTATGCCTGATGTTGACTTCAATCTAAAGGGTCCCAAAGTCAAGGGAGACATGGATTTGTCTGCATCAAAGCTTGAAGGGGACATCAAAGGTCCAGATGCTGACATCAAAGGTCCAGAAATTTATGTGGAGGGAAGAAAGGGTGGTTTTGAGATGCCAAAATTAAAAATGCCTAAATTTGGATTTAAAGGTCCAAATGTTGAAAGTCCAGAAATAGATGTAAAGGTCCCAAAAGCTGAGATTGATGTAGCCCCACCAAAAGTGGACATAAAAGGCCCTGAAATGGAAAGTCCAAGTGGACAAATCAAAGGACCAAAATTCAACCTTCCAAACATTTCCGGGTCAAAAATTTCAATGCCTGATATTGACTTCAATCTGCAAGGTCCAAAGATAAAGGGAGACATGGATTTGTCTGCACCAAAACTTGAAACAGATATAAATGTTCCAGACGTTGACATTGAATGTCCAGAAATTGATGTGAAGGGCCCAAAGGGTGGATTCGAAATGCCCAAAATAAAAATGCCTAAATTTGGATTAAAAAGTCCAAAGGTTGAAGGTCCAGAAATAAATGCAACTCTCCCTACAGCTGAGATTGATGTGGATGTACCAAAACTGGACATAAAAGCCCCTGAAATTGACATTGAAAGCCCAAGTGGAAAAATCAAGGGAGCAAAATTCAGCCTTCCATCCATTTCTGGGCACAAAATGTCCATGCCTGACGTTGACTTCAATCTAAAGGATCCAAAGATTAAGGGAGACATGGATTTGTCTGCACAAAAACTTAAAGGAGACATAAAACTTCCAGATGTTGATATCAAAGGTCCAGAAATTGAAGTGGAGGGTGGGAAGGGTGGATTTGAAATCCCTAAAATGAAAATGCCTGCAGTTGTGTTCAAAGGTCCAAGGATAGAAGGTTCAGATATAGATGTAAACCTCCCTCAAGCTGAGTTTGATATGAATGCACCCAAACTGGACATAAAAGGTCCTAACATTGACACTGATAGTCGTAGTGGAAAAATTACAGGACCACAATTTAATCTTCCTTCTATTTCTGATCCCAAAATATCTTCATCAGACACTCATGTCACATTGAAAGGTCCGAAGCTTGAAGGAGATCTGGATGTACATGGGAAAACAGGTAAATTTAAAGTACCTAAAATCAAAGGAAAGCCCAAAAAAAGTGATCTAAGTGTTGATGTTGGAACACCTAATATTAACATGAAAGGAACTAAGAAAAGTGTTTTTGGAAAGCTTAATTTTCCAGATGTTGAATTAGATATTAAATCACCAAAAGCCAAAGGAGACTGGTCATTATCTGAGGGGAAGACAGATGATCTTGCATGTGCAGCAAAAGTTTCTTTACAAGACCCTGAAGTTGATAGGCCTGGTGTTATTCATTATCCAGAAGGAAAAATTTCCTTCCCTCAAATCAAAGCACCAAAATTTGCTATTGCATTGCCACAAGCCGAAGGGTTTGAAGCTACAGGGAATATTGAATCAGAAACTTCATCTGGAATGAGTCTTAAAACCAAGTCCTCCTCACTTAAGTATGAGGCAAGCCCTGGTAATGTTGATATGTCAAGTCCAGATTTTAAACTAGGTGAACGCAAAGTGAAAGTAAAAATTCCAAAGTTATTTGGCAAATCTAAAGCCAAGAGTAGCAGTGCAAGTGATCTCAAGGGACCAGAGATAGAAATTAGTCCCAGACAAAAAGAAACAGGTGTTAATGTTGAGGGAGAGATGGGTGCAATGAGTATGTCACCAAAAGGCAAGTCAGCCTCCTTGGACTTTTTTAAGAAATCAAGGCACAGTCCATCTTTTAATACTGAAGGAGCAGGTACAGTTAGCTCTGCTTCTACTCTAGAGGCAGAAGGTGGTGACATTTCGCTGAACTTTGGAGAAGCTAAGGGTAAAGAAAAGAAAGGAAAGTTGAAGTTTGGAACATTTGGAGGTTTTGGTTCAAAGTCAAAAGGCTCATATGAAGTGACTTTTGGAGAAGACAGTGAAGTATCAGCAGAGGGAACAACAGGTGTTTCCTTATCATCTAAAAAGTCAAGGTTGTCCTCATCCTCAAGCAATGAAAGTGGTTCTAAAGGTGGTTTCAGGTTTCCAAAAGTAGAACTATCTGTCTCACCTAAAACAGAGTAGTAAAGTCTTTTAGATAACTATATTGATAGCTGAGGAATCATCTCGATTTTTACAAGAATAGTAACACACATTAAAAATGCATTGTAACTGTAAATAAGATTAATTTGTATTGTATTATTATATATTCATTTGTAAATAGAGATTTATAAGCAAATGGCAATACTCTGAAGGAAAATGTTATATTGCAGAACATAGCCATTTCCAAAATACATTTCTTAACAAAAATAATTTTGCTTATTACAGTACAGTACATTACAGTTTTCTTATAATGAATGATGATGATAATAAAAAAAAGTAAAAATTGCACAATAGAATAGAATGGTCTGAAGAGACAAATTAATGATGTATATATTTAGACTACTAGCCATATTTGCATTGACAATCGCTGTTCATAAAAGTTATTTTATGGTGATTTTTAATACATAGTGTATTTTTTGACTCAAACTATGTGCCTTTTCTTTTATAAAAAGTTTTACAAAAATAAATGTTAATACAGCTCAAAGTATGTGCAAATGGATATGAGAATAGAGTAAAATAGTTTTAATAAAAGAGCTGACCTTTATTGAATAACATTGTGATGGAAGTAGAGCATAGTCTCTGTGCCTGCCTTTTTGTGTGCATTTTGCCAATAACTGTAAACAAATTAAAGAGAATTTTTTTCTTCAATCTCTTTTTCTTTTTATTACTCGATTCCTTCTGGTATTATTCTAAAAAATAAATGTCATAGCTACTTCATGAAGCACAATTGAATATATATAAAATAATAATTAACTGGGTAAATTGGCTTATGACTTTCACAAATATAATTTAATTTTAATTATTATTTATTATTATAACTTTTATTATTTGTCACACAATGTGGAAATTCTAGTGTTGCACAGTTCAAGAACAGTAAGCACTATCAAAATAAATAGCTATTAGAACATATATTTAAATTTACCACAACACTGTGCAAGTATAATAAAAATAAAATTAGGGGCTACAGCACTTTTTTATTAGGTAAGTGCAGCATATGAACAAGATAAGTAGCAGGTAAAATGACTTAAGTGTATTATACCAGTGATGATTCACATTATGTTACATAACACATGATTACTACAGGTGGATGACCCATGTACAGGGTTAGCACTATTCATTGTCTCATACCAGCTTGTCAAAGCCTGATCTCAGCAGATATCAGTAGCTAAGCAAGGCTGGGCCTGGTTAGTACTTGGATGAAAAACCACTGGGAATTCCAGGTGCAACAGTGGGGCAGCAGTGGCAAGGTACTTAGGCAAGGTACTTCACCCAAATTGCCTAGGTGGTGTATGCGCAAGTGTGGTGATGGTCGGATGGGCTAATGGCGCAGATTGTCAACCTTGCTTCTGTCAGTCTGTCCCAGGGCAGCTGTGTCTACAATACAATAGTATTGTAGACAGTATTGTAGAAAAGGTGGGGGACTGGAGAGTTCCCCACCTATTTAAATGTGGGGGACTCTCTTGTTCTGGGCTGAGTCCAGAGGACAGCTGGACTTTTTCATGACCTTGTCCAGTTTTCTTCCTGCAAAAGGACTGACATTTAAAAAGGTGGGGAACTCTCTAGTCCCTCACCTTTTAGATGAGGTGGGAGACAGTACAATTAATATTATCCATATCAAATTGAACATAACATGACATTAAAATTATCCATATAATTATTCTGGGCTTACAAATTAACTGCGAAATCTAATGTGAGTAATCAGGGGCGACATGATAAGAAACAGTTCAGACAAAAAAGAAACAGGTTCTGAATTAAAAGTATTTTCTAAAAAATTGCATATTTCCAGATATAATTTGATCATTGTCAACTCCAGTCAAACACATGAAAAATTATTTATCACAATCCGAATCAAATGTTGTAATTTATGTTGTAATAAGGGCTATTTACTATTGTGCTGAAACTTAAATATTAATTTGACACTTTTATGTACATTTTGGTTTAAAAATATCTCAATTTATAAATCTTATTTTTTTATATATTTATTCTTTATAGCTCTAATTGCCCTTTACTAAGCACACAAACCAAACTGAAAACAGAGTTACCAAAAAAATTTGAACAAATATGTTTTAATCAAGCTGAAAATTGATGCTACATGTTTTACACTGTTTGACAACACTCCACAACACTGATAATTATGTCAGTTTTAGCCACCAAAATAGAGAAAAAGTCCATTCTCCCTCCTTCCTTGACCATTCAGTCTGCACCCACCCTTTTACCTCGTCTTCCTCTTCAGTGCTCTTGCAGTGTTTTCACCTCTATTGCCTCTTCTCTTCCTCTCTATGAGTTTTTATTGATATCAGTATTTGATTTTGCATCTGGCCCTTTGAAATAGTGTCACAACATGATTAGTCAATAGCAGGCTCATAATAAAATGTGAATAACCATACTTTTTCAGGAGGTGAAAAATATAATATTCTATTGCATAATTAATTGTTCTTGAAAACTGGGGTTTAAACATTTCTTCAATAAGATGGGTGGTTTGTGAACTCCGTCAGCCTAAAATATCAAGGCCATCCTGATTGACTTGGCGTTAATTATATTATTGGTGTTGTATTTCAGTATATGCAACTTAAATTATGAAATGGCAATTTAGTCTATTTGTAAGTTCACAAATAATATTTTAGTAGTACATTTACAGGTAGATTTGTCAGCTGCATCATACATGAAATCTGTACTTGTAGCTCATTAGTATCTGGTCGATATTTCCAACAGCATTCACACAATGTTTAAAATGTAAAAAATGGTTTAAAAGTCTTGGTTCACTTAAAAAAACAAAACAACAACAACAACAAACAGGTAATGAAAAAAAAGCAGCTGGAGCAAGCAAGGAAAGCATCCACAGTCTTCAGAGTCAGGAAACTTTCCCATACCCTCACCAGTGTAAGCCATAATTCATAATATATGTTTGGCATTTATTATTCATAAAATTTCCAGGTATTGTTTAAAATATAAAATACATTTTATTTAATATTTTTTTGTAAATTGTAAAATTGTTTGACATCCTTTGAAATTATCTAGAGAGGTCTAGTGCTTTACCCCTTTAACAGAAATATATTTGTCTAAGAGTAGTCTGCACATCTTGATGCTTAAAATTTAATCTCTTTAAATTGGAGATTTAATTTTAAGTTGGATCATGACAGAGCTGGCATATTTCAGCTGACGGCAGAAATTTTGACATTGGTCTTAAACATCAAAAAGTTTAAAAGTGCTACATTCAGCAAAGCTCTCGTCACAAATTACATTTTTTTTAATACCAATACAATGTTCAGAATACAAAAGCAAACAGTTCAATGTCAATATCTATAAGTATTATTGTTCCATTACACTGTTGATCTGTCAGTTGAAGGAGCCCTGAGCATGTGCACAGTGAAAAAAAAACAAAAACAAAAAACTGCGGTGTGTGGGAAATTAACTGTTTTTGAAAGAATATGCTAACATACAGTTATTTTTTTATTAGTACTTTCAGAAAATTGTTTTGGTTTCAACACAGGATGTTGTCTAGTTCCTGGTCAGCTGAAAGCTATTGTTCCCCAGTTCCCACGTACAAAGGAAGGAACTTGTCAGGGATGTCCTATGAAAGTGGAAAGTTCTTCCCTTCCTGTCTATAGGTTTTTTGTTTTTTTTTCTGGTAGAAGAAACACGAGGCTGAGAACTCAAGTCTTCTTAAACTGGACTCCTAAGATTCAAAAAGAACAGCTTTCAAATGCTAAAGGGAAATACAGGTAAGACCACATTTATTTAGTTCTTATATTTTACACTTTTGCACTGACACAGATTGTTACATTACATTACATCATCAAGTCTTCTCATGTTTCATGAACGCTCTTTCATTTTCAGGACAAATGTATCTAGCAAAGAAATATACTATAAATGTAAAAAATGTACAATTGTGGAATGTTTGTAATGAGTCAGTGAGAGGCTGTACTAAAACAAAACAAAAAAACTTAAAAAATAAAATAAAATAAAATAAAAAAGGTTTGAATACGATTTAGAAATTAGTGTTTCTATTTTCTAAATGTTTTATTTATTTATTTATTTTTCTGAATGTACATTTTAAGTTACTTAAGACCAGTTCATTATTTAGTTTACCTACAAAGTTTAATTATATTGTACATGGTGTTGAGCGGTCTTTTATCAGGCTACTGTGTTGAAACAGTGTCTACATTTTTCCTCCTTGTCTTAGCAGTTTGTATTGTGTGTGTTGTGCCTGACAAATTTGTTTATGCGTTGGAATGTTTTGGAATATAAGTTCAAGCAGTTGGTGGCATGGTATTGTAAATGCCATTTAGTATCATATCAATTGAGAAAAGTAATTGCAGCTGAAATTTTAGGTTGTGATTGGGATGTTTTTTTGTTGTACAAAAAACAAACCTCTGTTTCCCACTTTTGCATACAATCTACATTATTGAGGTGCGACCCCATCATATTTGTGCCCTGCCTCCCCTTTTGGTGCTTACCAGCTGAAAATACATTAGTTATTGTTCCACATTTGGCCTGCGTATCTTTTCAAGCAGAACAGAAAGAGAGGCTAAAGGAAAAGAGGGGGTGGATCATGCATGTGCATTAAGTCAGCTCCAGTAGTACGCAGCGGCAGCAGCAGCAGCAGCAGCAGCAGCAGCAGCAGCAGAGCAGCTTGGGGGGAGAGAGAGGAAAGAAAGACAGAGCGCACGAGTTAGAGGGAGGGTAGTATAGTCTGAGAGACGGGAACAAAAGCTGCAGAGGTTGCCTTTTAGCTCCAGCGGCAGAACAACAGGGGCATGGTGGAGGGAGGCGGATTTGTATCATGATAGCACTCAGACAATAACACCAGCCTAGACGTCTTTTGCAGTCTCCCCTGTGCTCTCCATGTTTTGGGGGCTCATCGCTGCACTGCCTTCGTGTCTAAACCCACAGGAGGAGGATGTCCGTGTCCGGGAAGAAGGATTTTGATGTGAAGCAGATACTGAGGCTGCGCTGGCGCTGGTTCAGTCACTCGTCCCAAGGTTCGGCTGGCAGTGGTGGAGGTGGTGGGGTGGGGGGCTACATCCCACAGGACACAGGCTTAGATCACAGAGGCACTCCTGCCCATGGGCGCCTCAAGAGTCACTCGCGAGAAAGAAGTGCTGGAGGACTAAGGAAGAGTAGCAGTCCAGTTCACAGCATTCTTTCGCCAACGCCGGGGCCCACACCTGTCTGCGTCAGAGGGGGGCAGCACTCATGGCATCAGCAACACAGCACCATCCATGGTGTACAAGTCAGTGAGGAGACCCCAAAAAGCTCCTCCCTACCAAGTACTCCTAGAAAAGATGACAGCATCCTCAGACACGAAGATGTCAAAAGCAGCATGGACGAGGCTCCAGAGGTGGAGCCTAGAGAAAGGTATGGCTGAGAGGGGAAAATATACAGTAGCCTTACCCTACAACTCATTTTCTTTGATTTATTAATATATCCATTATTAGTCAAACTCAAATCTGTATTTCAAAATCTTTTATTAAATTCAGTACCAATATTGACCTTTTCATGAAAGCTGAATATTTTGTAGACAATATTATGGCCTTAGTTTGTAATAGCCACAACATGCTTACCTGAGGACAGCTGTCTCAGTCAGTGTAAGACAGAGTAAACCAGTAAAGTAACATATTCATTATTCATTAGCTAGGCAGACATGCAGCTTCCCATTTTTCTGTTATGGTGTAGATGCAAGGGAGATTTTCCTCTATTTACCAAGAGTATAAACTTTTAACACAGAAAAGTGTGGCTGAAGTGTTCCTGAGCAGAAGGCAGATAGTTGACAGCGTGCAGGTGGGTAACCCCGTTGAAAGTGACTGTTGTAGGATTCCAACCTTACCACTATTCTATGCAATACTGTTACATACTTAAGAATTCTGATCATTGTGTAATAACACCTGGCATTTTTCTTCTCTTTTGTCTTGCATTTTGCATCATGTAAGGTTTATTATGGTGAAAATGTGGGCTAAAATTTGTTTAGATTATTTCACTTGATTGATGGGGACTTTTTGTTTGGGATATTTGATCAACAACATGATTTAAAGTTAAGATTCTGGTCCTTTTAGGTTAAGGTTAGCGTTTAGGCAAGGAGTATTTATAATTATCTCTTACAAATGAATGTAAGTCAATAACACCTCAAGCAAACCTAGCATGTGTGTATGTTTTTATCACATAGGGACTATATTCCTTATGCACACTCACATCATGGGGACCTGTCTTTCTTATGGGGACAAAAGTCAGGTCCCTGTGATGTAAATTCTATTTGTTCAACAACAAAATTTAAAGTTGTAGGTTAAAATTAAATTTAGGATTTAGCTTAAAGAGAAGCAAGTAGTGTCTTTGGTTAAGGTTTGGATCAGTCTCTAGGAAATGGATGTAAGCAAATGCAAAGTCCCCATAAAGCATGGAAACCCAAAATGTGTGTGTTTGTGTGTGTTTCTGGGCGAAAACCTCTTGTATGAAGGTTGAGTCTCTTTCATCTTGTAGGCCACTCTATGACATTTTGGGTTGATTGGGTTACTAGATCATCACTAGCTTTCTATACAGGCCAATACTTTGTTTTCAACAAGGAAATCTTTCATTGTATCATATTTCTTTAGTAGTTAAAAATGAAGACACAATATAAAAAAACAAAACAAAACAAAAACAAAACAAAAAAACAACAACACCAAAAAAAACCAAAACAAAACAAAAAAACATTGTGCATCTGATTCTTTGTATTTGAATAACTGGCAGATGCTCACGTTTGCAGGTCCCGGTGTGTAATGAGTGCATGCATAACAAATTTGCCTCACAGTTAGAATTTGTGAGTGAGCCTCTCTCTCATGAGGACCTTGAGTTTGCACTGTCCATGTAAAGCACAGCTCCTCCAGCACGTTTAGTCACTAATAGCAGAATATCAGAATGCCTATGCTTCAAAGCTTTAAGTGTCTTTGCTTAATCAAGATACAGCATATATGTTTGGCAAGTATTGCAGTAGTGGTGTGGTTAATCGTGGCCAAGATACAGCGATAGAAGTCATCAGTCAATGGCCCTATTATAATATCTGGTTGTGGACTGAATTGCAATAAACTAAACTAGTCTGCATAAAAAAATCTGATTTATTTGTATATTACACCACAGACACAGACAATCTCAGTTACGTATACATTAACCTGGATTAAGTGAGCTTGATTGTCATTTAGCATAACAAATCTATCCACTTCAGTGTTCAGATCAGAGGATTTGTCAAGGTGACACCAGAGTTATCAACTTTAACTTTGTATACTCATGCTTTTCCCACAAATTACAGATATACACCACCCTATGCTTGTATTCATTATTTAATATGAGAACTGCCCCACATAAAATGAGTGACTTTTTTTTTTTTTTTTTGTCAGACTTGGTATGTGTAGCACTTCTGAACTGTGGCTGTTCCTCAGTGGTTGATTGCTGTCAAAAAATATATGACTGAAGTTGTTCTAAATGGGATAGAGACCCTGATCTGCCCCCATAAACATTAACTAAAGCTCGAGTGGCAGGACATTACTTTGAATGATATTTAAATTTTCTTTCATCTTCACAGAGAAGAATTATTGCCTTGTTAATCCCTGTCAAAAATAATAATTCTAGAGAGATGGGTTTGTGTCAAGAAGGGCCTTTGGGGTAAGAAACAAATGTTTGTATTAGTTACTTTACAAAAATGCTTGTGTGCCTCCATTATATATCAATAAATTATATGCCCTTCTGCAAAGATAGCAGCCTCATAGACCGTGAGCTAAAATGCAATCACAAACTGTGATTTTTGACAAGATCAGCAGGTTTTTCCCAAAAATGTGCACCCGCAAATGCACCCATGTCATGCATTGTGAATTTCTTAGCTTTATAATGCAAACCTCAGCATTGCAGCAAGAGTATATTTCTATCACCAAAAGACAGATTCTTAAAATAGACTTGATATTTATCACTTGTGGTTGGAAATAGGGATTAACAGGTATTATGCAATACAGCAAAGCATTCAGTGTTTTAATTGGCAAAACTGGCCTACATATATTTATAAATAATTATGTTGTCTTTTCATTTGTCAAAGGAAAAAAAAAGTATGCACTGTTTTCAATAACAGAATAAATATGATATATTTGTGTACAAAATAGTAATGTTTCTGAAAGTACACATAAAATACTTGTACAGTACTAGTTTTCCTATAGTAAAACAATATAACACTGAATACTGAGATTTGAACATATGGTTCTAAGGACATTATTATTTATAGGCTTGACATATGCATCCATCTTGAGAAATAGCGAGATTATTCTGCACTCCTGTTGAATGTCATCTTAATCCTTTATGAAATACTCAATTTCCATTCAGCCTGTTCAATCAGAACCACATCTACTTCCAAATGGTGCAGAAAATATTGATCTAGTTTTTCTGTTGTAGCATGTATATTCATAACAATTCAAGGTCTTTTAGTTTCCTTTCTCCCTTAAAAACAAAGGCATAACTGCATGTTAAACATCTATTTATCAGATTCACAATTTGTGCAACAGTGTGATCTCGGGGTTTGTGTGAAGAGCAAATCACGGTGCTCCAAGTATTCAGTTCTATTTTGAAAAACTGCTAATCCATTACTATTTCAGCATTAGAACTCTTTGCATTTTGTTAGACATTAAAGCACTTTCTTTCTTCGAGTGTAGCTCTGCTTTTTAGTGTTCAGTGAGATTGGGCTATACCTCTGATGATCTAGTAAAAGCGAAATTTACGCCTCAACAAAATTTACTGCTCCCTCGAATGTGATACCAAAGCAATTAGTGTCTGCAAGATTGGTGGCATGAAAAATCCTCGCACTATACCTCAGAGCCAATACAAAGGCCATGTATCTTGATTTTATGGTTGGCATTGCTTATTCAATGTTGTTTGGTGTTACTTGGTAAGACTCAGTAGGGAATTACCATGACAAGACAATAAATTATTCCTTTTTAGCACACAATCTACCAATAAAGAGTCCGCTATAGAACAGCCCAATATCAGCAAGTCTCCTAGGCGTAATATAGTTGTTTTGGTAATGAAAGAAGAGAAATCCACCTAAAAACTTTATAGTAGTGAGTTAATCAGTACCTTTGCAGTGCATGTTGCAATACACAGAGCATAAATCACAAGTTACAATTGGCTGACAATCTATAATTTTTAAAATTAAAATTGAGGTTAAAATTGAGATTCTCAGTTGTGGATCACAAAATAAAAACTGGTTGCTGGTTGAAAAAAAAAAAAAGTCTAGTTAGTCCAATGAAAACAAGAGTATGCTAAATGTTTAAATAATTTTGTGGCTTATAAAGCTTCAGAAACTGATTTAATAGTTAACATGTAGCTCTAATTATTCCTGAGCAAGCTTTCAAACTTTTAATAATATTATTATGTATTTATCTTTTTTTGTTGTTTGGAAAGTCTATGAGAAAAATGAATGAGGATGGTGGGCAGTCACTGTTGAGCTCCACTGTTGAACACAGCAGTGAAGTAGCTTACAGTCTGTTTGCCACAGTGATTTGCCACTTTGACAATAAACAAACAAATAATGTTTAAAAATGTTTGAGTGTGCAGCTTGCTAAAACATGTACAGTATAATGGTGACTTAAGCAGGGTATCAATTATAGCCTCCCACGCCCCACTCCCTCCCCACATTATCAATCTAAGTTTGTGTCAATACACTGGAGCTGCTATGCATAACAGCCTTCACCAGCAGTTTCTATTGACAGGTTTATGAGTCTGTACGCAACACTTATATCATTCTATGAACAATAATATGCCTGAATATAAAATGAGGCCTAAAATAGCACAGGCACATTGTGCTATTTTTCCTTGCTAGTGTTATCAGTCCTTTTGCAGCAAAAGAAAAAAGGATGACATCATTATTATTATTATTATTTTTTCAAACGGCGTGACAAACAACCCTTGATGTCAATGTGTAGACTTGTTCTGTGAAGGACACCAAATACATGGGGGTGCGTTGTTTGCTATGGGATTATTTGGACGCCTGTAAACTATAATCTACCAGCCAGTTGGGAGAAGAATTTATATCATTACACAATAAAGAAATCCCTCTGTCTGGAATACATGTGTGAACCGAGATAGGCAGTTGTAAAGACCAGGGCGGAGTTGGGGAAGACACTGTTGCATGGATTGTCTTACAGGCTTATCCCAATGGACGGTAATGCTTTGTGATCCATTTATGTATGAAATAGAGTCCGTAGCGGTTTTAATTTCAGCTTAAAGTGGCAGAAAGATGCTCAAGCTCTGTTGGGATATGATGATTTAGAGGCTCTCTTTGTGGAAATAAACCCTATTGTGCCCCCCATCTGTTGGCTCAGGGAATAGGTTTTGCCTAATCTTTATTTCAGAGTGGAGGTGACACACGGTGAAATAATGAGCACTTAGCATAATGGGGAAAAAATGAAACTTGTTAATTTGTTTATTTTCCACAAGTCGATAGCATGAGGTAAGGAAAAAGTCTGTGATTTTAAACTTGTGGGTAAGGAGAACAGACAGTTTTAAATTCAGGGGCATACTTTAAATAACAGGTCACTGGGACACTGTTTTTGACATCAAGATGTTTCAACTCCCATACAGATAGAATGGATTGTAAGGGTGGGACATATTTACACTATTTGAACTATACAACAGAAAAAGTATTAAATTATTAAATATTCTAATGTGTTGGGGGTTCTTTTAAAATGTATTTAAATGCAATTTTCTGTGCTATTTCTACACAAATCTGGCAATGCACAACAAAAATGTAGGTAAATGAATGCAATTCTCAACAAACACAATAGTTCACAAATAGCACTGTCAATCAAAGTCCTCATGTGTAGAAGAATATATTAAAATACAATGTTCTTGGATACCCTTATTTGAGTGTCTAAGGTCATTTTGCAAATTTACACAAACACAGTGCGCTTGGACAAAACAATTGTGTCTGATGTACTCTATCTTTCTGTATTTCTTCCTCAGGTTAGCTCTGAGCACTTTCTCCAGAATGAACACTACCAGCAGCTCATCGGATGAGTTTTTCCAGGCCACAGACCATGCAGAACAGACCTTCAGGAAGATGGAGACCTACCTACAGCACAAGCAGCTGTGTGATGTGCTCCTGATAGCTGGAGACCACAAGATCCCAGCTCACAGGTGATGAAGAACTTTGATGCAAGTAATTACTTTGCAGTGCACATGAGGACGAGCAAACCATGGCACACTTCATTATGTTTAGTCAATGAGATACAAAAGCTGGTGTGTGAGCAAGAGATGTTACCTTAGCGGACAGATTGATCGAAGGTATATATATATATATATATATATATATATATATATATATATATATATATATATATATATATATATATATATATATATATATATATATATATATATATATATATATATATATATATATATATATGGCCAAATATTTGGCCTGGGCTTAAAACCATAGCATACTGTTCATATAAAAATAACTAATCGCCATTTTATATTAATGTTATACTGCAGTTTCTTTAATCTGCCAGATGATTTAGATAAATTATGTAACTTAATTAGGAAGCGGATGGCTAAAGCTATTAGCTGCAGTACACGGGTTAAGACCATAAATTACACCCTGTTGTCGCACGGAGTGAAATATAAGATGGCATGAAATCACAGCTTGATTAATGACTATGTTCACTGCTGTAACATGTCATTTGGATATAAGATACATCTGCTTTGATAACCATTCATGAAAAGCAAGAGCAATAATTTATGACTGCTTTCTCTGCAGACTGGTGTTGAGTGCTGTGTCGGACTACTTTGCTGCTATGTTTACCAGCGACGTCAGGGAGGCCAAACAGGAGGAGATCAAAATGGAGGGAGTGGACCCAGAGGCGCTGCGGTCATTGGTCCAGTTTGCCTATAGTGGTGAGTTATGACATATAAATCAATACCCTGCTTTTACTTGTCAGTTAATGTAATGGTGTATGTACAATACTTCTAAAATCTTCAGATTTTTACAAATGCAGTATTCTGGGGTATATCATGTACTGATAAGAAAATAAAACTGCCATTATAGAAAAAAGGCCTACCACAAAGTCAGTATCTTTGGATTATATCTCAAAATGATACAAATGCTATGAAAGTGTGCTGCACAAAAGGGATGGGACAACATCTCATGCCACAAGATCTCGCGAGACAAAATTGCCACAGGATTGGGCAGACAAGAGAAGAATGAGCTTGTGCAATTTGACATGGTTTACGTTTAGATTGGACTAAAAAGGGTTAGATATTGTTGAGTTACTCTTACATACCCAAAAAGCAGTACTAGAATGGAAACACTGGAAACTGAATGATGAAATTTATATATTAGTAATTATGTTAAAATATTATCTTGTCTCATTCTTGTGGTCCAATCTCATGTCTTGTCTTGTGTGTCATCCTATCCCTACTGAACAGTGTTCTGTAACATAATTACTAATTTTGTCCTTGACCCATCTTTGACATGGCATCCCCATTAAATAAAAACATAAATACATACATTCTGTAGTCAATAACACACCCTGTACAGTATTTCACTACTGGACATTTCTACTGCTGACATATTTTCAACAGTCTAATCCTCAGCACAATAACTATCACTTTATTGCAAGTAAAGGTTTCCAACAAGAAATTTGAAATGCATTACCTTCCCCCCATGGTGACGCTCGGGCTATATCCACCTGTCAAATGACTATATATTTCACTTGCCCTGACATTGCAGGTGTCCTTGAGCTCAAAGAGGAGACCATCGAGAGTTTATTGGCAGCGGCGTGCCTCCTCCAGCTTTCACAGGTCATTCAGGTTTGCTGCAACTTCCTGATGAAACAGCTCCATCCCTCAAATTGCTTGGGTATCCGCTCATTTGCTGACGCCCAGGGCTGTACAGACCTGCTCAACGTGGCTCATAACTACACCATGGTATGAAGGTTTTATATGGGGTTGCACTGCGTTTAATGGCTGGGGTGGGCTAAATTACTTATTTTGTAATAAGGAATGACTCTGTTAAAGTGATTTCTCATTGTGTTGATGGAAGGAATTCTCTGGTGTTAATTTAAAATGCACTTTCAATTTAATTAAAATAAAAAACTAGTATGATGTGCCAACCTGCAGCAGGGCATTGGGCCTATCTTATAATTATTATTTCTGTATGTTAGTGCCAATATCTGGATAGAAGGTAAGAGAGACAGTAAAGTAACTCTGTTATGAATAAAAATCTCATACACACAAACTGACAAACTGCCCTGTAGTTTAGTCCATTGAGGTTTATTTCATTTTCTGATAATTTATGTTATAGGTTCTTTTTTCAAATCAAGAGTTTATTTTCATTGCAGTCGAAATTGTCAGGAAAACAAACTCTTGGTCTGAAAATGAACCTAATAACATGCACTGTAATTTACTAAATAGGACTAATCATTGTAAACTAAATAAATAAATATTTGTCAGATTTTGATAGTCTATAATGGGTGGGATATATTTTCCTTAATTTTCTTTTCTAAAAACAGTTCAAACCATTTAACAAATAATGCATACATGGTACATCATCTCACTCTCAAGTTCCAAATTTTTGTTTGTATATATATTTTAAATATAATTTTTATATAATTTATTCTGCTTTTGCATGTGCACTGCAAGTATGACCGCTTGACATATTTTATATTCATATAATTATGTTTGTGAAATTTCAATATGAATGGAATTGTTTCATGGTTTCCTTTCACTGCTTGCTTGTCACTCAGAAAGATCACTGCATTAAGACACAGCTAGACTTGTGAAAATTGAATTTCTATATTTAAATATGGGACTGTGAGGTATATTTGCATTAGATTAAGTTTAATGCGTGTATATGTCAGATGGTGTCAGAAGCAGCAGTGACAATAGGGTGGCTGTTATCTTCTGAAGGACATCTGCTATTTGTTTACCAGGGCTCTGGAGGTTAATCTAATCATCAAGCTGCACAAGAAGGCTAACTTCCTGTTCAATCGCTCTGGTAATGAGAAGCAAGGGCCGAGGGCTTCCTGGAAGTCCATTCTCTGGGTTCAGGCAGAAAGAGTTTTGTTTTGACAAAGCCAGACTTTCCTGTTTCAGCAGAGCACCCCGCCCTACATGTCCTTTTCCATATTATGTCGTTTGAATAGTACATAGTGACTTTTATTGCAGTTTCTGTGGTTACAGGAAAACACTGGAAAATTAACATGAACAAAAGAGCTTGGGATTTAATGACAAAACCTTTACATTTGTGACCAGACTTTAAAAACTTCCATGAGGATGAATTAGAAAGAAAACATAAAATCGAAAAACTGAAACATAAAAGCTGTGGGAGAAAGCACCAAGCTACTGAATCACTGCCAGAAAAGACATTTATAACGCTATAGTGTCAGATTACTTTGGAATGCAGAACAACATCTTAAAATCTCTATTGGTTTAAAATTAGGCTAACTGAGATGTTATGACACAATAGCTCAGTAGATTTGAAAACTGTGGAAATCATTTCATGTTTTAATGTTGAATGGTTTACTTAAGATAAGAAACTCTTGAAAATCGAATTTTTATATTGCATAGTCTACATACATTTCCATAAATCAGTCCCTTTTCCAGGTTCAGACCCTTTACATTTTTAAGTTGTTAAGTACACAGGATGAGGTTGTAATTTCTCCCTTTGGGGCTGAATAACTGAAATAAGACAGGTTCTTCTTTGTAACACTATAACTTACTGATTTACACTTGTAGGATATAGAGCTCGAGATTTTGCACTGCGGCTAGAATTTTGCCTAATTTATATCCAAACAGCTTGCATTTGTATGTGTCATCATCTGAACACTGCATTTGAAGGAAATTCACTTTTGTTAGGCTAATTTTAGCATTTACAAATAATTGACACAAATGTTAAGTAGTGTTTCTCTTTGTGTATTACCAAAATGGATCAATAAGTGTTCCTCATTTCATTAAAGCTGTCAGTGTAAACCTCTTCAAGCCTGTTCTGGTAATAGATGAGAGCAAGACTGAGTAATCCGGTGCAAGCATGTGATCAATAGTGACTTGTTCTTTTATAATTGTTGCACATGCAGCCAATAATAAGATCAGCATATCTGACCACATCATATCCAAACATGTTCAAAACACTAACCAAGAATAATATGGCCAGAGAAGGCCCTGGCAGTGTTTTATATTGCATGTTAGTGTTGTAAAAAGGGACATTTTATAGTGAAGCAGCATTAATGGATTTGCCCTTGAAGTGTAGTAATACTGGCCGGGCTGCTGGCCAGTAAAAAGACAGATCAATCTTAAGGACAGTAATGGAGAAGAGAGACAACAATGTTTTCACTAGATGCAGCATTCTTGCTTCAGTTATATTGCAGCTCATTAAACAGGCTTAGAAAGGCTTTATTCTGTGATGACTAAACAGATGAAAACATGTCAACAAGCTGACAAGAGACTTTTTGGATGTGTTTGATGCCAGGTTGATTTGTAGCATGCTGTTGTGAAGAATTAATCATTCTAATTAATAAAAATAGATAGACACACATTTAATCTACTGGTTTTATTCATCCTCACAGAAATGGTTCAGCCCTTGGGCAGTTTGACATACATGCTTGTCTTAAAGAATACATATTAAGCAAAACTGACATTTTTAAGCTTAAACTATCTTATACCCTCACCAAAAACATATTTGCAGTTGTATTTTACTTCATTTATGCTTGATTTAATAAGCCATTAATCCAAACATTTTCTCTGGGCAGTCCAAAATGTTTTTTAAGCCCATAAACCACCAAATTAATTCTATAGTCAAATTCACAACAGACACATGGCTCTATTAGCATAGCAACAATGGGGGATGAGGACTTCATTTGTTTACTTTGCCATGGGTCAGTCCCATTGCTGACAGCAGTGGGAGCTCCAACACCCAAATGCCTCATAGAAAACATATATGTAGTTTATAAAGTATATTTTCCAAATGCAGACTTTATTTTTTGTCAAAAAAATGCTAAATATTTAATCAAATGCTACCAAAGGTATGTTTAAAGTGGAATTAAAGCCACAATAATGCATAATTTGTGTTCTTTATAACCTCCCCTGGCATCCTGCCACAATCCAGAGGCATGCATGTGTTAGGATATAGGAGTATGACTAAATGTCCCAAGGTAGACTTCTATGCCCATAATAACACACAGACTAAACACACAGACAGAATAATTACGGTTTAATATTTAATATGTTACTAAAATCAAATCTATTATGCCGTTCATTCAACATTTTTGGACAATTTGTAGACAAATTTGATACCATATGAATTTGCAGTTTGCTGTTATTGAGTTGACTTTAATTAACAAGAAAAACACAGGAGTTGTATACACTCATTTAATTTCTCCCCCTCTCCTATCTGTCTGTATCTGAGTTCCTTATCTTATCCCATTTATTCTTATTCACCCTTTTGCCCTTCATCTATGAAGGACACACAGGCCAGCCAGAATCCTCTGTAATAACTGATGATTATCTGCCTCTTCTAGGAACATTTCCTGGAGGTCATTCAGAACCAGGAGTTTTTGTTGCTCCCCACTGTGGAGATTGTGAAGCTACTTTCTAGTGATGACATCAACGTGCCCGATGAAGAGACCATCTTCCAGGCCCTCATGCTGTGGGTGCGCTATGACGTGCAGCACAGACAGAGGGACCTCGGGGTACTACTCTCCAACATTCGTCTCCCTCTGCTTCCACCGCAAGTAAGGAGTGTTAATATGAAACCATCAAACAAAACATAACTTGAGTGTCAAATTTACTTACTGTTAACTCTTAGAGTGTGATACGATAAAAGTATTTTTTTTTTGTCAAGAAATGTGTAATTTCTTATAGGCATGTCATAATGACACATTTTGAATTATGGTATATTGCTATTAAGGAAATAGATGATAAATAATAATAACAGGATTATCCCAAAAAACTATTCTAAATGTAGGATACAGGTTAAAAAACTATGAGCTGCAATAAATAAATAAATAGCTGAATGAAATATTTTAATAGATAAGATGCATCTAGAACAGGGGTGCTCAATACGTCGATCGCGATCTACCAGTCGATCGCCAAGGTCGTGTGGGTAGATCGCCGTGTCTCGTCTCGGACTCGCGTTTGGACTCGGTCCTGTCTCTCACTCAAGGTCTGACACTCAACAAGTGCGATCATATTTCATTACGGCCGCTGCTGTTGGCAATAAACTTGTACCGGGGTGCAGGAGTGTGTGGTGCGTCTCAGTGCAGCCTGTGCGCTCATTTGAAACCCGCGGATACTCTACGACACATCACAAATACACACGCTCCCTATGTACGGCTCGTCTGCAACAGCGTGTGCCCTCGTGTATCAGCGTGCATCACAGGGCAGGTTAAACTTCCTAAACATCCTACCTGTCCATCTGCCTCACGTCAGCACGCCGCCCCTCGCCTTCTCATGCTCTCGCTCCTTCCTGCGTACAGCGAACACAAGCCCCTTCCACAGTGCGGCTGATTAGAAGAGCAAGACGAAACGTGAAGCAAAAACAGTCTAAATTTGTGTTGCAGTGTTGGCACAAAGCAGGTCTACAGCATAGAGCAGACCTACAGAACAGACCTTTGGCTGAAGTTTGCCTAATTAAAGTGCACAAATGCATCTGTGTTTGTCACGATGTGCGTTTGGTTTGGTAAATGTGCAGAGGCTGGTAAATATCACTGCAAAACCAGAAAAGAATGCAACTCCAGTTTGGAACTTTAAAAAACAGGTTTAAAAATCTTCCTTCACTTTTTTCACAGTTTTGTTTAAAGTGCCAGAGGGCGTTCTCTTAAAGAAGGGGTTCTCAAACTGTGGGTGAGGGTCCAAAAAAGGGGTACAGAGTGTTTCAGTGCAGTTTGCTTGGCTTTGTATTAGGTAGATCTTTATGACTTGGTCATTTTGTAAGTAGCTCGCATGCTGAAAAAGTGTGAGCACCCCTGGTCTAGAATGAATCATAGCAGTTATTTATTCAACCCCCTTTAGCAGAAATCTCATCATAATACAGAAAAAGAACAAAAACTTCCCCACTAGTACAAGGGAAAAGTACACGCTATAAATACTGGCCACAAAAATAATTGTTCCATCTTTCATATATTGAATGACAAGTTGATATAATTATTGTGGCAGGTCTAATTTCTTATAATGATCAATCAATTTAGAGTAGTTAATACATTTTCAGCCCCCCCAAAGGCTTGTACTGGGTCTGTAAGAGTTTTACATAACTGTTGTTCGGACAGTTTTCAAAGTTTCAGAGCATGCCCAGTCAGGTCAGGTGTGTCATTCTGGTCCTTCAGGAGATTTGAAGCTCCATTGTGTAAGTGCTGCCCTTGAGCTAAACGGCTCTGCTTTGACAGCAAGTATTTGTGCCTGGAGCAGTGGCAGTCCATAGCGACAGGCATAGAAATTGCAGCCATTCAAGCTCAAAACCTGACCTGATTTATTCTGAAGTCTTATGGATACATGTTTTTGAAATATGATGGTTGAACATTTGGAAGAAACCACTAGTGTGACATGCTGTGTTGTGCAATTACTCTATATGGTTTCATGTCAGAGAAAATTGTCAGACATAGAGTTCAAGTCTAGACTGTCACATCAATGTTGGAAAGACTATATAAATACACAGATAATTATTACATTTAATATAATTATTATATTTTTAGATGTTTTTATTTGAACTTGCACAATCCATTAAAAATGCCCCCAAGGTTCGATATCAATCATGGTCTGATCCAATGACGGCGTGTTGTGCCTAACTGCCAATAGATAAGAAAATGCCCACAGGAAAAAAAAGATGAGATATATCTTAACATGACATGTTACAGCTTTTTTGAAAAGTACCTAGAAGGTCAAATCTGTGCTTTCTCCCATGCTACTGGGGATCTTAACAGCAAAAGTGAGAGAATGTTTCTGAGAAATTTTGAAACATAACATAAAAAAATAAAAAAAAAAAAATAAATAAATTAATTAAAAAATAAAATAAAAATAAATAAATAAATAAATATATATATATATATATATATATATATATATATATAAGAAAAAAAAATATATGTACACACACACACACACACACACACACATACATACACATATATATGCTCAAATCTGTATATATAAAAACTGTTTACATATATAAGTATTATAGATTAACTTTTTACTGAAAAGTTAATCTATAACTTATCTATAAATCTATGTAAATATTCTTTCTAGCTTCTGGCAGATCTTGAAAACAACAAAATGTTCTCAGATGATCTTGAATGTCAAAAATTACTGATGGAGGCTATGAAGTACCATCTTCTGCCTGAGCGCCGGCCCATGTTCCAGAGTCCAAGGACCAAGCCCAGGAAGTCCACTGTGGGTGCACTTTATGCTGTAGGGGGAATGGATGCTACAAAGGGTAGGGCTGGCTAATTATTCTCTTAACAATATCTATCCATAATGTCTTTCTAACACTGTGCTGCTTTAGGTTTCACAACTATTGAGAAATACGACTTGAGAACCAACACTTGGGTACAGGTTGGGGTTATGAATGGTCGTCGGCTTCAGTTTGGAGTGGCTGTCATTGAGAATAAGCTGTATGTAGTTGGAGGCAGAGATGGTCTAAAGACTACAAATATGGTGGAATGCTATAATCCAATCAGCAAAGTCTGGTCCACAATGCCTCCTATGTCCACACATAGACATGGGCTTGGTGAGTGAGTAGACTTTTTGTACAGTTTGACAGTTTGACAAACAGAAATGTATGATTTCCTTTATTGTATTATTGTGTTGCTCCTGAATTCTTATGCATATTCTTAGTGTAGAGGTGTAAAGACGTTCCACAAAATATATTTAGATGGCAAAATTAGATAAAATGAGGTGACACTGTTGACTTGTTTTGTTTTTTTGGGGAAGGTTTAGACTGAATTAAATCTGTTATAAAATTTAAAACTGTACAGAGATATTATTTAGACAAACTAATTATTGTTCCCATTACAGTAGCCTAAAAATACTATATATATATATATATATATATATATATATATATATATATATATTATATATATATATATATATATATATTATATATAATCTGATCTGATAATTGTCCATCTCTTGATGTCGTTCTCTTGATATGTCGTTCATTAATCAGAAGGTTCAGGTCTCTGTTTCTGCTGATTGTGTCTATGGAGCTCTGAGTGCAAACAAGCTGTGATGATTTCACACTGAACAGTGCTAAAATAATATTTCGCCTCACCTTGGTTACTGCAGTTTGTAGAACAGATTTTACTTGATCAGGTTATTTGCTGCAGTACATGACCGGAAAAATCAGCAGGATCTGTGCTTTGAAGGGTCACATCACAGCTGGCACTCTGCACAGAATCACACTTTCTTTTAAGATGGACTTTTGATATTTTCTCATTCCCTTATCAAAGCTGGGCAGTCTGTTCTGGCCCTGCTCCTCTTCTTTTTACCCTTCACTTGTCCAATAAATCTCATATCACACACTCTTTTGATTTACAGTTGAAACAGGTCTGGGGCTAACAGAACGGGGGATCTTGTCAAAGCGTTCAGCTCTGGCGCCCCGTGTGGCCAGACCTATCACTGTACAGCACCTGGGCAGCCTTTCATCTTTTCACGCAGCAAATATGTCTCACTGCCTCGCTTGTGGCCTGAATATATTGAGTGAATTTGTGAGAGCTTAGTGTCAACAAACATTCCCAGCTGTGTAATTTCTGCTGCTTGAACAGTGAGAAAAGACATGGCCAAATGCAGCTTCGTATTTAGTAAACACCCATTTGAGATAAAGTCTTCACCACAAGAAGGATGACTTAGATTTCTTAAAGCTCAAAGCAAATTGTCTTTCAATGACTGTTGAGTGCTGTGCTGAAACAATTTTAAATTGTAGCATTTTTTTAGACCATTTAATCTGAAATATGGTAGCTTTAGTAAAAAGACATTTAGATGGCACATTCAAGAAAAGAATAGATTTCAAAAATGTATCACAGTTTCATTTAAAACAGATATAAAAATATATTTTTATTACAGCTGAATTTTATTGTTATAGTTATGGTCTGTGTTATTTTTGCCAAAACACTAACATGTGTTTTTAATTACATATTGAGTCACATGTAGCAATAAATACATACACAATACAATAAATAAATAAATAAATAAATAAAATAATGGGATTGTGATTGTGGGATGCTCAAGTAGTAGTAGAACTATCTTGAGCCACCATGTGGCATGAAACACAAATGCATAATGATGACAATGCAATGGACATAAAAATGTATTCCTTATTCAAAGCAGATCTTTTGACTGAATGCCATTGTAGAGGTTAGAGCCCGACCGATATGGATTTTGCTGTGGCCGATATGAAACCGATATAATGGGAGTTGGAGCTGCCGATAGCCGATATAATCACCGATATATTTAGTGATGTAAAAAATCACTGTAAATGTTGAATTGTTTAAAAAACTTAGGTTTGGCTCTGGTGGATTTTAAATTGGGTTTATTTAGGCAACATTTATTGTTATTCTGCCTCTTTACATCATATTTACAGACAGTAGGTTGGCTTAATGGCATTTTTGCATCACATTCTAGACACTAGTGATGGGTATTCCAGTTCTTTTTAGAGAACCGGCTCTTTTGGCTCGGCTCACTAAAAGCTGCTGGTTCTTTTGGCTCCCAAGCTACTCTTCAGATTGTTTTGTTGCAAGCAGGACTAAAGCACGTCTAAAGCAGGACTGAATCAGGACTGAACCAGGTCTAAACCAGGACTGAAAAAGGACTAAACCGGGACTTATTTATTCTATGCTAAACTACAGTCAAATATGCTCGTTTTTTTTTTTTTTTTTTTTTATCCTACGTACACGCACATTTCTCAAAGTTTAGTTTTTAGCCGCTGCCGCTGTCAAACCACGAGTCTCCATGCGGCGTGAAGAGAAAAAAAGTGAGAGAAAGAGAAAACACGGCTCCCAATAAGGACCAGGCTCCCGTCGTTCCCTTCAAAGAGCCGGTTCTAAGAGCCGTTTCGTTCGCGAAGGACCCATAACTAGTAAAGAAAGTAGCGCTATTAGCCTTTAGCCGTAAATACGTGCGCGCCGCGGTAATTAATTATATGCACAAATGTCATAATTCACACGTCTATTCACAGCTCATTTACATATCAGTGCAGGTCCAGTAGCAAATATACGACCAATATAATCACTTTAGAACAGACCAATAGAAAACAGTCTGTTTATGTGCGGGAGCTACAGCAGCTAACCCATAACAAATGACAAAAACTAACTTCAGAGTCGACATATTTCCAACACTCACCGCTCATACAGGCTCCTCCTCACATCACAAGTCTGCACTAATAAATGTCCTTTTAATCCAGACTCAAACCGATTGTCCGTAAAAAGAATATAATCTCAGTGTTTGGATCTGTGTCTGCAGGTGTAAACAAACACACGTGAGTGACGCGACTCTGTGGTGTGTTCAGGGACAGTACGGACACACACAGACAAATGACTCCGTAGATAAATACTGATGTGGAGCCACATATTAGGACATTTATCTGTCTGTAAATTGGATTAAATGAACAGAATGTAGAGAGTCTAAGCTTTATAAGGAGGTATAACATGCCCACGTGAAATACCGCCCCCTATCAGCAAGCATATCGGCCGATAGCCGATATGCCTAAAGTTGCCCATATCAGCCGATAATATCGGCCAACCGATATATCGGTCGGGCTCTAGTAGCGGTCTACCATCATTTGACCTTGTTGTGGTCAAAAGTAGAGCCCGACCGATATGGATTTTGTTGTGGCCGATATGAAACCGATATAATGGGAGTTGGAGCTGCCGATATCCGATATAATCACCGATATATTTAGTGATGTAAAAATTCACTGTAAATCTTGAATTGATTAAAAAACTTAGGTTTGGCTCTAGTGAATTCTAAATTGGGTTTATTTAGGCAACATTTATTGTTATTTTGACTCTTTACATCATATTTACATACAGTAGATTGGCCTAATGGCATTTTTGCATCACATTCTAGCTACTAGAGATGGGGATTCCAGTTTTTTTTTTTTTTTTTTTTTTTGGAGAACCGGCTCTTTTGGCTCGGCTCACTAAAGCAGCTGGCTCTTTCGGCTCCCAAGCGACTCTTGAGATTGTTTTGTTGCAAGCAGGACTAAACCAGAACTGAACCAGGACTGAGTGTCGGGACTCGGTTTCTATCTCTCTCCTTCACTCAGCCCAAGATTAGTCCTGGTTTATTCATTTTATGCTGAACTGCAGCCAAATATGCACTTTTTTTTTATCCTATGCACACGCAGATTTCTGAAAGTTTCGTTTTCAGCCGCTGCTGCTGCTGTCAAACTACGGGTCTACATGCGGCATGAAGAGAAAAAGTGAGAAAAAGAGAAAACACGGCTCCCAATAAGAAGCAGGCTCCCGTTGTTCGCTTCAAAGAGCCGGATCTAAGAGCCGCTTCGATCGCGACCGACCCATAACTCCCAGCTAGTAAACTATCGCTATTAGCCTTTAGCCGTAAATGCTGCGCACCGCGGTAGTTAATTATATGCATAAATGTGGATCATTCACACGTCTATTCACAGCTCATTTACATATCAATACTGGTCCAGTAACAAATATACGGACAATGTAGTCACTTTACAATAGACCAATAGAAAACAGCCTGTTTATGTGCGGGAGCTACAGCAGCTAAACCGCTAAGAAAACCTAAACTAGCTTCAAAGTCGATGTATTTCCAACACTCACCGCTCACACAGGCTCCTCCTCACATCACAAGTCTGCACTAATAAAGTCCTTTTAATCCAGACTCAAACCGATTGTCCGAAAAAGAAAATAATCTCAGTGTTGCGCACGGCTGCGGGTGTAAACAAACACACGCGAGTGAAGTGACGTCACTCTGGTGGTGTGTTCAGGGACAGTACGGACACAGACAAATTACACCGCAGATAAATACTGATGCGGAGCCACATATTAGGACATTTATCTGTCTGTAAATTGGATTAAATGAACATAATGTAGAGAGTCTAAGATTTATAACGAGGTATAACATGCCCACGTGAAATATCGGCCCATATCAGCAAGTATATCGGCCGATAGCCGATATGTCTCCAGGTGCCCATATTAGCCGATAATATCGGCCAGCCGACATATCGGTCGGGCTCTAGTCAAAAGTGTTTCTTTAAAAATATGCATTTGACTGCAGCTCCACCTTTGTCAATTTTTTCTGGTAGAGCGGCTTGTCAAGATATTAGACAGTCGAAAGTCACATACTTACTGTTGTGCCTTTAGGCAAGACACATATCATAATAATTAGTTTTTATTTTGCCGGTGCAGGTATCGCAGTGCTTGAAGGCCCCATGTACGCGGTGGGCGGCCATGATGGCTGGAGCTACCTGAACACAGTGGAGCGCTGGGATCCTCAGGCCAGACAGTGGAATTATGTGGCGAGTATGTCCACCCCCCGCAGCACCATGGGGGTGACTGCACTCAATGGAAAGTGAGTAACGAAAATCCAGAGCACAATGTATGACAACATTTAAAATGTCCGTGTAAGGTCCAAAGACAATCACACTGAGCCCTCAGTAAAGTGTTTAATACTGATTTGTCATTTATGGAGCGGCATGCTTCAGGAGAGAGTAGACACCTTGTTCACCCTAAAAGTAACAAGACAGGGTTTCCATGGCCTCTTGATGTCCCAGTCATATTATGCTATGAATAACTTTATAACTTATAGTTTAGTATAACTTGATTTAATAACAACAATTGAAGATAGTTCCTCTTGTCTCGACTTGCTGTTTGGTCTCTGAGCTGCAGGCACTTATAGATTACTCACTGTATCACTCACTGAAGTGATGTATGTGGAAAATATGTTTAAACAGGGCTGTACATGGCCCCTTTCCACACCTTAAGTAACCATGATTTAGCTTTCTTATTTTCATCAATGTATTTTTCAGATTGTTTGCAGTTGGGGGCAGGGATGGTAGCTCTTGCCTAAGATCCATGGAGTGCTTTGACCCCCACACCAACAAGTGGAGCATGTGTGCACCCATGACCAAGAGACGAGGGGGCGTTGGCGTGGCAACGTACAACAACTTCCTGTATGCCGTGGGAGGACATGACGCCCCAGCTTCCAATCACTGCTCTAGGCTGTCTGATTGTGTTGAGAGGTCTGTACAACTCACTCTAAAAATATGTGTGAAGTAGAATCGGAAAATATGTGAGAATGGATATGGCTTAGAGTTGATATGAATAAAATATGGCAAGAACAATAAACTATAGTTGAAGTACACTTTTTCTTCACTGAAATATTAGTTTTGGGTCCTACATCCGTTAGGGTTGTTCAGTGTTGGGGAGTAACGGATTACACGTACCGAAGTTACGTAATCAGAGTACAAATTATGAGTAACTGTATTCAGTTACAGTTACTGTTTCAATGAGTGGTAATTGGATTACAGTTACTTTGTTGAAATAAATGGATTACACAGCGGTATTTTCCTGTTTTTTCGGTAATTCCACTCATTCCTGGAAACTAAACCAGGTCTAAACTAGAGCTAAACCAGGAATAAAACAGGACTAAAACAGGACTAAACCAGGACTAAAACCAGGTCTAAACTAGACCTAAACTAGATCTAAACCAGGTCTAAAGCAGGACTAAACCAGGACTAAAGTCATGTTTAAAGTAGATCTAAACTAGGTCTAAACCAGGACTAAACCAGGTCTAAACTAGATTTAAACCAGGTCGAAAACCAGGGCTAAACCAGGACTAAAACAGGATTTAACAAGATTAAACCAGGACTAAAACAGGAGTTAACAGGAGTAAACCATGCTGCACGGACATGTCTCCTCTTCTATCAATAATATTTTTAATATGGTTAAGTAAAGTCTGGACTTTTTATTTTCTATTAGCAGACAAAACATCTTATGTTACGATATCCTAGTCTTTGCTTCTCTACAGCAAATCAAGTAATCCAAAATATTCAGATTACATTACTCACTTTAAATAATTTAATGGATTACATTACAAACTACATTTTGGGGTATGTAATCTGCAATCTGTAGGGGAATACATTTTAAAAGTAACCTTCCCAACACTGGGGTTGTTACAGATTACAGATAGGATGAGATTTTTCAATGATTATTTAGCTCCACCTGGTGGCCACTAACTTCTCTTGAATCCATTTGGTTTTAAACAGTTGGAGTGTTTCATATTTAGTCAGAATTGATTGGTCTTTTCCCCTTTATGGTATATTTTAGGTCAGTAATATATGTTCATATTTACAAATATTAATGTTTAGGAGAATGAGGCTTTAGCTATGGTAATAAGGGTGCAGAAATAAATATATTACTATTTGTTGTATTGCACTTTTTAATGGTTTTCGATATTGTCAAGTTTTATATGATACAACCCAGCTTAGAATGAAAGCATGAATGTGAAAGTATAAAATATATTATGATTCTTACACCAAAGTAGGAGACATTTTACTGTAGCTCCACATTAGAGTATGTCAGTTAAAAGGGCTTTCTATGGGGAGTTTGTCCCTTGCTGATGTATCCCTCTCCACTTGGTATCTGCCAGCTGCTACTCAACTTCACATTTAGCTTTGAAGTGCAACTCAGGCTCCTGTACTGAATGTAGCTCCCTCTAGTGACCACTGAAAAGTGTGATTAAAGAGCATGAACAGCAAAAACTGTCTGTTTGAAGTAGTAAAAAGCATTTTATGATGAAAATATGTGTGTTTCAGGTATGATCCAAAGACAGACACGTGGACAACTGTGTCTCCTCTGAGCGTGCCCCGTGACGCTGTGGGAGTGTGCTTATTAGGAGACAGGCTGTATGCTGTTGGTGGATATGACGGACAATGCTATCTGAACACTGTAGAGTCCTATGATGCACAGAACAATGACTGGTCTGAGGTATCCATCAGATATTGATATTATAGATATAATAAACTAATCTCAAAATCCTAATATATGAAAGGTTTATTGTTTAGTTTTGGTCTGACTATTTGTAAACTGCAGATGTCTGAATACAGAGACTTTATCAGGTACTTACAGTCATCAACCATCAGTCCATAATTTACAACTGTTGTGAATAAGATGTAGCTATGATTATTATAGCTCAAGATCACTAAATGAGCACAGAGTTCTTTTTTGTTTTGTTTCCATTGATGGATCTTTATTTGTTGTCCCTGTAAGCCTTTTAGCAGCATGAGCTACAATGGGACTTAAAAGCGAGGCTGTGAGTTAACCTCTGTGTCTTCCTGTAGGAGGTCCCTCTCAACATTGGCCGGGCGGGCGCCTGCGTTGTGGTGGTGAAATTGCCTTGAGCGCTTTGTCTCATGACGCGAGCAAAACAAGCAGTGAAGACGAGTGGACAAACAAAGCAACAGATCAAGGACACATCCTTTGAGAATCATTGTTTCATTTTTCCTCCTGCTTTAACTCTGCTCTCCAGATTTTTCAGAGCTGGGCACACACAGAGACTTGCCTATAAACCATTGTCTCCATCATTAGTGCTCTGTCTGCCCACTGGGGAGCGCTTGCCCAGAGACTGGAATAAGCCGCACATTCTCGGCATTCTCAACCGATCAAGAATGTTTTTTTGTGTTTTATCTTTTCTTTTTTTTTTTTTTACAGAGTTGGCAAAGCTGTAGTGTACTTGTGCCAAACCCTTGTTCTGCCGGGTTGTTTTATGAAAAGTTTTGTAAATGTCGTCAGATTTGAGTTTTGAAGCTTCATTTTTATAAGAGAATGGGGTTATTGAACTTTATAACACACGTTTTACTATGACTGACATCACATTTTAAGTATTTACTGCACTTATACGTATTCATGTTGTCAATACTACTGTTTTCAAGCTAATATATCTGAAAATGTAAACTGAAAGGAAGGGTATAATGATGAATGAAGCAATTTTATAAGCTTGTTAAGCTACAAAACACCAAAGTATCTTACTGTCTTCTTACACATAGAATAAAAGTTTACAAGTGTGTATTAACTATAGAAATATATCATATTGATATTTCACTTTGCTGTACAAATGTCTTGTGGACTTCTGAAAATGACTGTATGTTATGGTGACACAATGACAGCCAACCCAGCTCACCATGGCAACTGTTGTTCTCTCAGCGTTATTTCTGGGCATGCTTTTAACCAGCATCACTCTTACAGTAAGATTCATTTTAAAAAAGCCACATAAATGTCTGTTTATGTCAAGGATGTTACAAACCAAAACCACATCTAAGCAGTGGTCCCATTAACTTGAGTATTATGTATTAAAATCACATGAGAAGGTTTCAGTGTTCAGTTCAAAAGGAAAAATGCAGAAATTACACTTTTTTAAAATTTAAGAGATGTAGATTGTTCTTCATCATTCATTTATTTGAGCAATATTCCTCATCTTTCAATGTGTCTTCATTTTGCACAGATGCCCTTCCTCCATTTGCCCAGGCTACATGATGTCATTTCTATTTTCAGTTGTCCGTAGTTAATATATTTTGTTTTGTTTATATGTATATAGCACTTGTACTACTGAAATGAATTATTTCTCACAATATTCTGATCTATTGACGAAACCAGAAAATGTAAGTTTGTAGTTACTCTCTCAAACAATACTAACTTCAACATGTGTAAGTAATTTCTGAGGGCAAATGTTAATTTTTTTCTATGTTTTTACCATTTTACCAGTTTTGTACAGCATGGAAATAAAGCGACAAATGTCTTTTGTGCATGTTGAAATCCATGAAGGGTGTGGCCCCAGTGGTCAATGTTATCAGTTCTTATTCTTTAACTAACAACAGATAACAAAATCATTTACAATCCGAATAGTCCTCCCACTCTTTCATGTTATTTGGGTACATTTGCATAGCTTTGCCTACACCAGCACGCTAACTTACAACTGCAGTGTTTCCTGGTTTATGACACCAATGCAGAAATCTCCATGCACCTTCTACAATCTCCTGTCTGTATATCAATAAAGCCTAACAGCTCTCACCCTGATCGGCCCTTTACTGTGCAATATAAAGCCCAGAGGAAACCATATCTATCCATCCATCCATCCATCCATTTTCGTCCGCTTATCCGGGGCTGGGTCGCAGGGGCAGCAACCTAAGTAGGGACTCCCAGACATACCTCACCCCAGACACGTCCTCCAGCTCCTCCGGGGGAATCCCGAGGCGTTCCCAGGCCAGCCGAGAGATATAGTCCCTCCAGCGTGTCCTGGGTCTTCCCCGGGGCCTCCTCCCGGTGGGACATGCCCGGAACACCTCTCGAGGGAGGCGCCCAGGAGGCATCTGGAACAGATGCCTGAGCCACTTCAACTGGCTCCTCTCGACCATATCTATCAAATGTATTTTAACATGTGATGCATTAATGTGTAGTTATTTGTGGATTTCATTTTCTCCCAAATGGTGCTGTGGTTTTGGCAGGCTGGATGTGCAGTTTAGACAAGTTGTAAGTCAATAAAGAACAGACTCAAATTCAAACACAGAGGACTTCTGCACAAGTTGGGTCTCCAAACTGGTTACTGTACAAAAACTGTGCTACTGTTTATTTTCATATTCCTGCCTAAAGTAACAACAACAACAATAATAATACATTAGACATATAGCACTTTTTGGACACTCAAAGATGCTTTACAAACAATAGGAGACAATATGAAACACATACAATAAACTTCACATGACTTTAAATGTAGAAGTTATTAGAATTGCTTTTAATTAACTTTGTGATTCTTGTGAAAATACAGTTTGCTCCAATGTTCACAAATGAAACATCTGTCAGAGCTGTATTAAGGCAAAATACAAATGTGCACAATACATCACAGGCTACAATCCACTTTCAATTATGAGGGGACATCAGTGCATGTATTCAAGTGCTGCTGTTTTGGGAGTTTCAATTATAATTTATCAATGACTACTGCACAGCAACAAAATCACAATTAGATAAGACAAATACACTGATGACATGAGTGAACAAACAAAACTGAAACGCCTCCAATCTTTTGGTTTCTGATGTCATTCTATGATTTGTTGTCAACAGAGGGCGCTGTTGCACTGCCCATGATACGACGCATATCACCACTGCAACCGCACCAGTCAAACTACCCTCTTTCCAAACAACTGTTCATAATAAATGTCAACCAGCATTACAGATATAAGAACAACTACTTGAGCTAATTACCCTGTATAATTACCGAGGCATAATGATGAAATGCTAGGAAATGAGTGTTACGACTTTTCCAAACGAATGGGTTGCTGAGTTGCAGATAACTGGATCAACTTGAGAGGTGATTGGTGAGCTTTAAATCAGTTTTGAAGACAAGATTATTTTAGTACACATTTACCTGTATGATGCAAGTAGACATGCTGAACAATGTTTAATTTATGGGACGTTGAATATATTGAATTAAAATAAATAACTGACAATGTGGTTAAGATTAGCATATTTTATATTAACTGTAATTGGAAATTAATAAAATTTGTAGATAATATCATTTTAATACTCTAACACCTTTTAAATCAAGGTGGAATGTGTAATAAATCTTGCGAAAAGCAGTGTCCAGGTTGCTTTTAACTTTCCATGGAGAAGATTTTGACACATAAAATTGCAGTGCAGCATAATTGTTCTCTGCCAAAGTCCTGACAGAAAAATGTGACGACAAATCAAATAGTCAGAAGGCTCCGTGAAAATGCCTGAAGAGGATTTGGGTGGTTTATTTGTCAAAACACAATGTTGAGAATAAAATATATAAAGAAAGATGCCTTACTCGAGATTGTCTGGGGGGACAAAAGACAAGACGGATCTTTCCACGAATGCCAAAACAAACTGTCAACTTGGAATAAGGGTGTTTCGTCAAGCCTGCCTAAATAAGCCTGTTAACATGACACTTCTGACATGTTGCAATAGAGCCCTTATGTCAGACCAAATCTCCTCATTCAGGTGACGGCATGTGGAATCTACAGTCTTTCTTAAGTGAAATTCAGATCCTATTCCTCAACAAGCAGCTAAATCATCTTGGTCTCCTTCCCAGTGCAACAATAGGTGAACTCCCAGCCTCACCTGCTGCAAGAACCCCACTCCTCAAAACCCCGTAAGTGTTTCTGACAGTGACGTTGTAGTTAGCCGTGCTTTTCATGTGTCCGGCTCAGATACAAAGAGTGACAGTTGGTTTTCTCAACTGATCAAAGGCTGCAGACAAGTGCTGGTTCTCCCCCCGAAACTCCATCTAATAATAGTTGAATACATTGTCATCTCATTATCTTTGAAGAGGGGAAAGATCCACAGTGTCTCCTGCCATCGTGCGGCCCTTAAGACTGCTGAAGCGCATTCCAGTCTCATTATGTTGAGTGAAAGATATCAAGACACCATCCCATCTGCCTACAACGCCCCCTACACACATGTCAGTAGTCTTAAAGCCAGGGAGACTGTATGGTACAATGTTTATGTACTTGGAATTTGCCTCTAGATGAAGTGCAACCAGATCTTTTTCAGTTTTAATATCGCAGCATATGACACAGTGAAATTGTTACAGTCTTGAGCTTCCATATGACCTCCCGTTTGTTCCAACATGACAAACACTGAAGCTAAATGAATGCAGAGAATGCAAAAACACATTCTAAACTACAGTAGTAAGACATAGTAAATGCATTTATTAAAGGTCCTATATTGGAATGTTGTTACTTCATCAAAAACATACTTGGAGTTTTGTTTCATTTGCACATGTTCGAGTAATATTTTATTATTAGTCTGTCTTGACTGATTGCTAACAGCTCAAAATGCTCTGTTCCACCTTATGATGTCATGTGTTTTCAGCAGCTATCTTTTACCTTTTGTTCAGTAGAGATTGACAGTTCCAGCACTGAGAATATCTAAATGATTCTAGTGGAGGTGTATCGACCTTTAAAACACAGTGTATTACCACATGACATCCAAGGTGCAACAGAGCATTTTCTGTTTGAGAGAAGAATTCAGCCTAAATATGCTGCATGTGTTAAAAACTCCAAATGTTTGTTTTTTTTTCTTAGGAAATAACTTTGTAATGTAGATCAGACAATAGTATAATATGGGCCCTTTAACACCCATTTAATTTATATGCAAATCCTAAAATTTGTTTATAAGAGCTTGAATATAACCCAATAATCACTTGGTAATATGTAAATAGTATAATAATCATCTTATATAATAATACTCTTACAAACATTAACATAGATATTTTTGTTAATGTCTGAATTAACAGAAATGCATTATATGCCATCCACACATTTTAATAACTACTGCTTATTTATGATTTATAAAATGTTTTAAAAATGTTACCTAGGGATCTTTTACTTTAGCCATGAAGGAAAGGAGCAATACAATCACATTTTGAGTTTGATAAAGTACCATTCTTTTAATTGTTCAAATATAATGTCCTAAAAAGTGTGACTTCAGTGTCTAGAATACAGTGTCTAGTTGTTATCAAGTATTTTAGTTACTCTTATTTGTCCCAAACTGTATGTGGTGCTATCATCAAAATTATCTATCTTCTCATTTCTCTTATAATTCTACGCATCTGAAATTTGTTCTGAATATTTATTACACAGAATAAAAAGCCATTAGTCCTGAATGTAAGTGGGAGACTACTTGTTTGAATGGGACTACTAAAAGACACATTAATGAAACTTAAAAGTTATTTCACTTTTAGTACAACAGTGTATTTTACAAAGTTTCTCAGCTTTGTGCAGAACAGAGGTTATATAAATAAAGATTTGAAATACTAGCAGTTTCTCTTAGGGCTTATTCTTGACTGTAGTGACAATTTGAATACAAGTGAAAACAGACGCGCACTACCACTTACATTTATTTATATACAAGAAATGCCAAATTGCAGAGTCTCTCTTGACTGGTTGCTAACAGATGTCATGGGCCAATTGCCAAAACATCTTATCGTGGACACAGTACAGTGGAAGCACAACACTGATCTGCATGATGGTTGTCAGCTCCAAATGAAATTCAACCATGCCTTTTTACCAGCTTTGAATTCATGCATGGGGAAGCCTGTCAGGCGACGAGACGATGTGGACACTGGATCTCACTGTTTGTCAGGATTTTACAGCCCTCCCCCTCACTATGCGTTTGAAGCTAGTCATCTGCTGTCTCTTTGCCTGCTGCCAATACGCTGTACAAGAATTGAGATTCAAGATTTGTGGATTTACAGGAACAAGTGCAATTAAGTCTGTTTTGTGAGTGTAAAACATCTCTTTGCATACACAGTCATATCATTTTAATAAGCTCCAACTTTCTCTCAGTGAATATGCTTTTATTTGGTAACTAAACTTTCTTACGGTCTATTTCAGACTCTTACAAAGCCATCAGTGAAGCTTTCTTCCACTGTGTCTTTTAGAAAGCTGCTTGCTAGAAAAGGAAGTCCAAAAGTAGAAGTCCACTTTTGAAAGTGGTGCATCAAATACCGTTTTGAAATCAAATGGAATAATGAGAAGACATCAAACCCGAGTCTGAGCGCACACACAGAGGGGCTATTGTTGGAATGAAATGCGATTGTTTTGTGACGAATGCTGCACTGATGACAAAGTTACTTTAGCTAAACTCACTGTGTTCTTAGCATCCATAATACATCATGTCCACTTCTATAATACAAGCTTTGAAACTTATGACACAAAAAGAAGAAACACAACTTGCTGACTGTTGGCGTATTTATTTCGTTCAAACTATGACATTCTAGACCATTTTCGCAAATCTGATTGTGCTTTGAAATTTTATGACAGCCAAGTTCAAAACTGTAATTACAATGGATATCACACTTTATTTATTTTATTTATTGTACAAAATCTTTATTAAGATCAATTGTTAACACGTTATAATAACACTTTAATTAGCTTAAATAAAGCCTGAACAAATAGTTTACCAAGAATGATTTAATTAATACCACTTAATGAACTAGGTATTAAGCATGAATCATTCTTAATTAACTATTTGTTCATTATGAATTAAGTCTTTGTCTGGGAGCCCTTTAAATTAAGATTCCTTAGTAAAGGCATTATAAGCATTAGTAATAGTTTTAAGCATGTGTAAACTTTGATTAGAATGAACCCAGTAAAGCATGCACACAGATTTGTGAGCTGGACACAATGATATGCAAACCAAGCATCTAAAAAAAAAAAAGGGGGTCTAAAAAAGATTTTGTCAAATCTTGTCCGATGGATTTTTAAAAATGGGAATGTACAGTGATCACTGCATTTGAGTGTCAAGTTTTTGAGACTACTGGATTCATTTAATACCATCTGGGGACCAGTGGCAGCTGGTGGTATAATTTTTTGGGGGGCGCACA